TGAGGTTAATTAACTGAGCACCCGTTCTCTCTCTGTCATCCCATCCATGTATACACACACGTTTACCGTCTCACTTTGCATGTCGTTTTGGTGACCAACCGAGTTCGGCCGTAGTATCGCGTGCTGAATCGGCGGGTTTCACAAGAGGTAATATAGAATAAGAGTGCATAGAGGCACCAAACATTACATAGCTATACAAAGATGCTGGGAGCTCTACTGATGTTCATACACTGCTAAGTGGTATTCGTTCAAACGATTTGGAGGGCCTTATATGTTTACATAGGCGAACTAAAAGTACGGCCATACGGAGAGACGTGCCTTTAGCTCATCAGGTCCGAGTACACGCCCCGTAACCAACTGTCTCTGTCTTGCTTTTATCTCGGTAGTACTTGACGCTACACAGCTCTCGGGTACGGCCAGCTTCTGACAGCGTTGTTTTGTTTTGCTTTCTTGTTTGGCAGCCGCGTTTCTTCCAACGGTTCCCCTTGAGAAGCGTAATCGGCGGATGTGCGCGGGGGTTGGGTTAGAACAACAAAAGGCCCTGATAACTAAAAGAAGCTTGAGAGAATTGCGAAATCATAATAGTGCTGTCCATAATATGCACCTGTATTGTTTTGTAATGCAATGCAACCCCGAGCTCTACCCAAGCGCTATTTTGAGCTCATGTTGAATGAACGCCGGCCCATATGAATATAACCCCCATGCTCCATCCCTCCATCCGTCGTCTACCTCTGTGGCGTAGTTGAAATGGTCCGTCCAGAAATTGTATGCCGGAGCTTCATCTCTGTAACTCTAGTGTTGTGTGTGTTTGGGGGGGGGGGGTGTGGTTCTTTTCTGTATTTGATGTTGTCGCCCGCCTTCCCCCTTACTCGTCTTGGCACCATCTCCTTTCCCTGAGGGGCAGCTCCCGTCCAGAGGCGGCTCTGCTCGCATCAGCTTCGGCCTTCCAAGCCCAGTACTCGGCCAACCTGGTCTCCGCGTACGAGGCGTAGTCGAAGTCGATGTCGGAAATGATAGCCTGGATCAGGGCCCAGATGCCCCAGTAGAACCCGGGTATGCCCCGGAAGAGGTCGACCTCGGCGTTCAGCTTGGCGACTTCGGCCTTCCGATCGACCTTGGCCTCCCCCGGTAGCAAGTTATAGTAGGACTCGATGTATTGCTGGATAAACTCCTGCCGCTGGGACCGCGTGGGGAGGACGCTGTGATCGCACTCGAAACCGCCCCACTCGGCGAAGTGGTTGGCGAGGTCGAAGGCGGCGGGAGAAGGCGTCGCGTACTCGTAGTCGATGAAGCTGACTGAGGGGGTATCGTCATCATTATCGTCATTTGGCGGACCGCTGGACTGCGGGGGGAGCACAATCACGTTGCCGCACAGGAGGTCACAATGGGCAAAGACGAGCTAGAAAAGAAAACAAAGGTTCAGCTTCCTGTTGCGGTGGCACCATGTCATGATGTATATGTGATAAATATGCGATATATGGTCTTACCCCATTGTCGCCCAGGCCGGGGCGCTGGCTAAGCTGCTTGACTAAGCTATCTAGCTCCTCTTGAAGCTCGGATTGTCTCGCCCTCTGTTCCGGGGTGGCAGTTGGTAGGGCGAGGATCCACTTGCGCATGACGGTCCAGAGGTTGGGGGCAAGTTTTCCGGGGGCGGTGTTGTCGATGAGGGCTTGGGTAGCCAATTGCCGCGCAGCGTCGTGGTGGTGGTGGTGGTCGACATGACCATTTCGGCCATCGTTGCTGTCTCCGCCGGTAGCTCCCCGGGAGACGCCGTTGGTAAGCGGGCTGGGGGACGAAGGGATGCAAGGCACGGTAGCGTGCCATTGCGCCAAGCGTCTCGCGACGGCGCAGTAAATCGAAGGCTTCCTAAGGTCGTCTGGGGTGGTAACCCTGCCCTTGATGTAGCGGTACAACATGCCGTTGTTGAAGCGCGCAATGAGTTCGGGGGCGAGACCGTACTTCATCAGCAGCGCATGGTTCTGGGCCTCCCGCTCGCGGTCGATGAGAACCGCCGTGCCAGCGCCATAGGCTCGCAGCAGGATGGCTTCAGAATCAACCTTGTCCTGGGACCACCCGCCCTTCTTGTTGATCGCCTTCAGTAGGGTATTGGTGATGCCGTCGGTGAAGCGCACGAACTCGATTTTGGAATCCGGGGAGGCCCACTCCGGTCGCACGGCGAGGATCAGGCGGGTGGCAGACTGTTGGGAGTCTTGGCTATCATACCGAGACGGGATGAAGCGTATGGTATGGGCGCTGCCATTGGGAAGGCCATTGCTAGTCGTGGACGCCATCGTTTGAAGGCCAAATGCCAGATAGGTGGCAAATTGGAGCGGCCGCGGTACTTTCGCCGGAGGGCAGATTTCGAGCAACTGGTTCAAGGCCAAATAATTCGGGGAACCAGGAAGGAGGGCGTTACTTCTATTGACGATGGTCCAGATGATACGACCAAAGTCAGGATGCTAGAGATAACACTGAAAGACTGAAAGGGGGGTGCAAAGAAGGGGGGAGGGCAAGGGTAGGAGAAATGAATATTATGTCGCGATGCGGTAGTATCCGTGGACCGTGTGCATAACGTAGGTTATGTTACGTAGTGTAGGTGTATAGTGTGTAGTGTATAGTGTAGCGTAAGGGGGAGGCAAGCGCGGGAACGAGGGGAATTGGAAAATTGTCAGTGCGGTCTGCGAGAGGGTGGGATATTATTCCAAGGCACCCGGGAGCGACTTGACCGCTTGAGTCCCTTGGTGTTCAGACTTGGGCTAGGTATCCCCGCTCTTCGCCCAGTGCAGGCACACGACCTGCTTCCCGTCCTGTCAATGGATTCAATGGATTATGATTAAAAATAAAAGAATTAAATAAGAAGAAAAAAAAAGATGTGTGAAGCGTGTCGACCACAATACGTCTCCTATGTAGTTGAGAGCTAAAATTTGCCGAAATGAGCTCTGGCTCTGGAGGGTTTACAGGATTACTGTACGTTGTAATGCTGATTTTCGCTTAACACGTCCTCCTTGGGCTCGTAGATTATGGGTACAGGAAAATGCGAGGGGTTCAGCCCTTTTCAGTAGAAAGTGAACAAGAGACAAGAAGAAAAAAAAAAGGAAAAAAAAAAGGCGTGTGCAGGGCTATCTATGTAGGTAGGTTGGTGGCATAAACATGTGATAGTGGTGGGAGAAAATGACATCCACCACGCAGCACATTAATTACCTGTATGATGAGGGGGCGGGGCGGAGCCAGGGGATCTTCCCCTTCGACTATTTATCCGTGTCCAATATTTGTCGAATAATTTACCTCCCCACCAACCACCATCCACGCACCACGGAGTACGTACCACACTGTTCTGTCCGGGGAGGGGAGCAAGTTCCAAAGACCGTCATTTTTGCTGATGACGTGATGCACTAGCCGCAATATTACAGGTACGTAATATTGTGTGGCTGGAGAATGACGCACGGATACCTTACTGGTACCTTACATAACACGACGGCGTATTGTTTGCACGAAGGATCTCCGGAGTGTGTGTCCATCGTACGCCTGTCCGACGACGTCCCTTGTGTAATTAGCTGATGCCCGCCGTCCATCATATCTACCTACCTTACGGTATGTAGACAGACATCCAAGAGAAAGGCAATCCAACGCACCTGGCCATACGTTGCAAACACTCAACCTCGTGACCCATCCAACTTTTGTACTGGGTCTCTTTTCTCAGATCACATGGTCAATGTTTGGGTGGGTAGTTGGACAGTAGCTGAGACTCGTGTACACGTTACAGCCTTGAGACTTAAGTCCAGCCTCGAGGCTTTCACTCCCCCATTCTGCTTCTTCGCGCTCGGCCCGGCCGGCTCTATACTCGCTACCTAAGGTAGGGTAGGTAAAAGTCGCAAAAGTCACAATGTCTCAGCCCGTACTGCCTAACCCGAACAACTTCCTCGCCGTCGCTCTTGTTATCAACCGATCTCGAGACGGTCCCAACTTCGTCTTTCATTACCCTCCCCAGGTCCGTCCACCTCACAGCCAGCCAGGCCAGTCCCAAGATGGCTCGCCACCGGAGCCCCGTGATGCCGATGACGCCCTCCTCGAGCGCCTCAACGAGCCCGTGTCTTCCCTCGACGACCCCGTCGATCCCTCCTCATCTTCCGGCCACCCTCCACCCCATGGTTGGGATGACCACCGCTTCACTGAAAACGGCGCCCAGATCGTGCCCTGGGAACACGTTGCCGGCTTCCCCACCAGGGACCTTGCCAGCATCTTAACGCCGGGGAGATCATATCACAAAAAGCTCTTCCAGCTATCCCTTGACCCGCTCTACTGCGTGTCCTGCCCGATCCACGTTCCCGAGTCTGGAATCTGGAAGAAAAAGAAAACGAAGAAGCCGGACCAGGCGAAGAGTGTCAGGACCGAAGATGCCATCACCACTCCTTCTGACATCGACCTAGCCCGCCAAGGTGCCCATGCTTCTTCTACTAACGGGGGTGAAACCTCCCAACCCGAGCAAAAGGACAAGGACAAGGACAAGGACAAGGACAGGGACAAGGACAGGGACAGGGACGGGGACAGGAGCGATGAAGTGGACGATAAGAGAGCCTCCATGACCATGTTCAACTTGGTCTTCATTCTTCACCCGCGAAAATACCAGGTCAAGGAGCTCGTCGCCACCCTATATCTCAACATCATAAGGAAAGTCAGCAAGGCCTACAAATACAGCCAGCAGAGTAGCGACTTTGTGTGGAAAGAATCGAAGCGTATTATAGCCCTAAAGGAAAAAGGACGAGAGGAAAGTGAGCCGCACCTCTTCCGCCTGCGCACCCCCCCAGCCCCCTTTCCTCCTTCTTGTGCATTGCGTTGCGTCTGCCACCACCTCGACCTCCGTCTTACGCCGCTTTTAACCCTTTTAATATTTCTGTCGCTAATCCCAATCTCGGTGGACAGGGTGGAAAATGGGAACCTTGTGGACAGAGATTCTCAGTTCTTCCTCTCTAGCTGCTTCCGTCCAGGACATATACGAAGCTGTCTCCCAAAACAGAATCGCCGCGCTCCAACTTGACACAGCTGCTGGGCCCCTGACGCCGTCGGTTCAAATCCCGGTCCCTTTCTACGTCGCGGACTTGCCCCCGGACGGCGAAGAGGGCCAGCGCGGCCTCTGGCTGACTAGCGCCAACTCCTTCATTAGCGAGGATTCTCTGGACGAACCTGGGTTTCTGGATCGCAACTTTGCCCTGCTCCTCATGGAAGACGAGAGGAAAATCATTGCCGAACTGCAAGCCGATCCGGATCCTACCACAGCTGCTATGGTCGAGTTTGTTCGCCTCTCCAAGCCTACACAGTCGTACGTTCGCATTTCTATCATTCCATCTCCGTGTAGCATGAGACGTAATAACAGATTATATTTGCCCAGTTTCTACCAAGTCGGCCAAAGTAACGTACTTTCCTTAAGCCAGGTTCGCAAGTATGCACAACACTTCATCTTTTGGCGTCGTGCCATCGCCATCCCGCCTCTTCACGCCCGCGACGTCTACATCCTCTCTCCCAATTGCGATACCCGCCGCCTGCCCCGAGCCAGCGTTGAATGGCAAAAGACCTTTCCGCTTGCTCCACCCCTAACCAACTTCTTGGCCGAGCTCTCCTACGCTCCCCGCCCGTACAAGCACTTCTGCCCAAGCAAAGCGCACCGCTCTACGTATCTCCTCATGCTGGCCTGGCTTATGCGCGGGGGCTGGGTCACCCAGCTCTGCACTTTCGCCTACGTCGTCGTCTGGCCCGAGATCCAGTACGAGGTCGAGTACCAGCTCGAGGCGGAAGAGCTCCGGCGTGCCGAGGAGGGCCCAGCTTCCGGGACCAGCATCCCCAGCTCGAGCTTCGAATCGTCCGAAGACCCCCATCGTCCTTTCGGCGACGACGCACATGTGCCGACCATCAACGAACAGGCCGCCGAGCAAGCGCGGCTGGAGCGTATCGCCGAGAAGACGCAGCGCGAGGCCGCAGAAAAAGCCTCTGCGCATGCCCTCAAGGTTGTCCCGACGGCGACGGCTCATCCGTCCGTGAACAATGCGCCGCACCTAGCCCACATGACGCCGCATATCATTTTAGACGCTAAGAAAGCTACCGGCAAGGAGTCCCTGTACATGTCTGCCATCGCAAGGAGGCTGAACGACGAGAAGCTCGCCAAGGCGTGGCATGGCTTCTGCAAGTATTTCAACGGGAAGTCGGCACTCGAGAGGATCGCCCTGCAGGAGGACATGAAGCGCAAGGAAGCTTGGACCTTGCTAACCGCCATGAGTGAGCATCTAATGGTGGTCCGTCATTGGTGAAGGCGGTGCGTGCTGAGGAGGCATGACCATCCTAGACCATCGGTGAAGAAGCCAGACAGCTTCTGCTCAGGGCAATTGGCCTGCTTATAGCGGTTACAAGCATACTGGTCTATATGTAAGGATGCGTTGCGCAGAATCCACTCTGTAATGTCCTCGCATCAAAATATCACGCTGGCGCGCAATGGCGGCCCCACCTCAGAACCGTCCCGGGGGTTGAGAAGGAGAAACAGAAAAGGGGGGGCAGAGTGGAAAGGGAAGCAAAAAGATCCATGGAGATGGATACTGATATACTGGCACAAAAACAGGGCCTGATTTGACAGCATGCAATTACGCTGATGCAATAACAAGAAGCTATGGCTCGTGGGCAGGCTTAAACACTTGCAAACAGTATGAAATCATCAAACCCCAAGCTTCGCCTATCCTTATGCCAGGCCGACCAACCCTCAGAAGGTATCAATGCATGAAAGAGGAGAGGGGAGAGGAAGATGCCATCCGAATAAGAGCCGAAAAGCAACGCATGCGGCAAAATTTCGCAGACGGACCAACGACCGAGATTAGACCCTTCCTAGAAAGAGAGAAAAAGAAAAGGACAGAAAATGGAAAAAGAAGAGGAAAGAAAGAAATAGAAATCAACTTGAGCACACGGAACATTACCGACTCCTCTTCCCTCGTCTGTCCCAGACTAAGAGCGAAGCCAACGCCAAATATCCCCAGATCTTCCGTGGTATGTATGTGTTCCTAAAACCGAGCTCTGATGCAAAGGAGAAAGGTAAAAAAAGGAAGTAAAAAAAAAGAAGAAAAAAAAAGGAAAAGCAGAAAAGAGGGCTCAGATATACGAAGAAGCTTTCCCCTTGCATATAAACCATCCCGCAGATAAAACCAACCCCTTCCGACGACTGCGGGCAGTATGGTGGGCCCGGAAAGACAGTGTAAAAAGACTCTCCAAGCCGAAAGATGGATATGGACAGTCAGTCGTGTCTGCGTAGACCATGTTCTGCGCCTTGCGGGCACGTCTCTCTCTACTGGGTAAGGTCCATTCCAAACTCGTCTTCTTCCTTGAAGTTCATTGTGCCTTGATCACCATCGTCGTCGTCCGGTTCGTGCCAGAAGTCGGTGGCACCGCCCGCGCCACCACCCACCATACCGCCATTACTGTCACCCCCTGGACTGACAGAGATCCCCTCGGTTGTATTGCGAGAACCGTTCAGGGATTCTCCGCGAATGTCGGTATGGTTGGGAACTCGCAACCCAGATCCAGGCGTCCGGGAGTACGACATCGTGTCGTTCTTGGACATGGCCTCCATCAACTCGGTTTGCATGCGTTTCTCATCCTCGGTCAATTCGAAGGGAAAATGCCCGCCTAGCTCGGAGATAACGTTCATAAGTTCTTCCTGCTGTTGAAGTTTGAGATGCAACATCCACATCAAATCCCGTGTCCAGCTGACGGCGCCGTTCAAAATATCGCCCTTGTTAGGACCCTTGTCCTTTTCCTCGATAGGCAGGCCTGTGGTGATGCTACCAGCCGTGCTCCCTGCCGCACGACGAGCGCCAGGGCCGGCAAGGCCCGAGGTGGCTTGGCTGGGACTTGACACGCCAGTTAGACTAGGCGAGAGCGGGGTCCCATTCTGGAGCATTTTTCGAATCTTCTCGTCCTCCAGCCTATGTGAAGGCACCAGTCGGCTGAGATCCTGGATTCTCTCGTTGATATTGTCACGGCGTCTTCGCTCTACGAGGTTGTGGGATTCACGGCGGCGCTTCCGCTTCATCTCCTGAGATGATACGGCGTTGCTATGAGCAACTCCAAGTTTGGCTGGCATTGACGAGCCCCCTTTCATCATGACCTCGTTCAGTTGTGCAAGGCTAGGCTGAACAGGCGAAAATCCGGATCCGTATGAGGCGGCCATGGTATTGGGTGATTGCATCCATGGCCCAGAGGGGGACTTGCCATCGTGCAAACCTGGTGCGGGAATGGACTGTGACGCGAATCCTGCCGAGTCCTGAGAGCCGATCGGAACTCCATGCATGGCTGCCTTTGCCGTCATGGGACCCCGCGAGTTGGAACCTTTCCGCTGCATGGCCTGTGCCATTCGAGCCCTGTTCTTGGCATTAAGGAAGTTGGCGTCAGCTCCTTCGGCATTCAGATCGGACCCTGTCAGTGGAGAAGCGGAGTAGGAGATGGGAGACTGGAGAGACGTTCCGAGGGACTGAGGGTTGAACTGTCGAAACTGGGAATTGTTAAAGCTGTGGACGTAAGGGCTCTGAATCGGGTCACCATCGGGAGTGTTGGAGTAGCCATTCATAGTAGACTGGTCGATGCCATGGTGCGAGCCATATATGGGCTGGGTATAACCCATATTCATTTCTGACATGCCGCTGAAGTCTTGCCCGTGACTGTGCATTCCTTGGCCGTCGGTAGGACTGCTTAATCCGTCCAGGAGTTCGTCATCGCCGAATAGGGCGGAGCCACTTGAATAGGCGTTCGACGAAGTGGCTTGATTAGAACCGTTGAAATTGTTCCCATAAGAGGAGGCGGAAAAGTTGCCACTCATGGCGAGGTCGTTGGGATCGATCGCTTGGCCACCACTGGCTCCTCCTCCGAACTGGCCAAACCCGTGTTGCGCCATGTCGAAAATGGGTATAGGAGATGAACAGACGAGGGGAAAGGAAATTCGGAGGTACAAGGAAATTTAACTTTGAAGCACACCAAGTCCAGATGGGATCCCGTAACTATAGGCGCAGGCCGATATTGGAAGTGACTGGGTCGAATTTCCACAGGTGCAATGAGGCCGCGATGTCGTCTAAAACAAAAAGCGCAAGTTAGCGTCAGCTTGGGTGGATGGGCTGAAGATGTCTGGGGTGGAACTCCGGCCGGGATGCTGAAATGGGTTCGGTGACTACTCACGTCGGAGATGAACAATAGCGTGGCGACGCAATGTCGATGGATTTTAGCCGTCTGTTTATCTCTCTCCACGCGCCATGAGGCACTGGAAAGTCAGGTTCGTCAGGTTCTGCGCTCGGATTTCGGGCGCGGCGTAGAATGGGTTGGGTCGCGGGTGCGATCGGCGAGACTTTCTCCTCTCCGTCACTTTTGCTGAGAGGCAATCAAGGACTGAGACGATGCCACAACCCCCTTGTAGGATTTATGCAGGTCGCGCAATTGTGGGAGCGATGATGGACGAGTTATCTGGTGCTCGTATGGATTCTTTTTTTTCTCTTTCTGGATTTGCTGATGAGAACCGCCTGTTGTCGTTGTCTTCTCGACTGCCTTCGGATGTGGGAGAGATGACCCAGTCGAGAAATGGGCGCGGGTGGCTTGGCTTGGCTATGTTATCTGTGTCGGGGGGGAGGCCTCGGCTATCGCAGCGTTGTAATGCTCCGGGCAAAAGATAATATGGGCAAGGGAGCGCTGCTGGTTGTGCGGATATCGAAAAGGCACCTAGGCTTCAAGGGAGTGAGCTAGGTCCTATAGGCAATGAAATAAATGTTGCGTTTGTTGGGATTTATTGATTGACATTGACACCTGGGAAGTTGGGTGTGGATGGGGGAAGATCAGTGATAGATAGGACTGGAGGGGTAAGGTAGGTAGGCAGTGGGCGACTCCACTTATTGGTGTCAGGGTTGCTGTACGTACGTGTATCCGTACAATAGGAGCACAGCAGGGATCAAAAGGCCTACTCGACTTCGTAGGCACGTCCTTTCCCACTTTCCCAGGTAAGGTAAGGTAAGGAAGGTACGTGAAAACGGGAAAGTATTTGTACCTCGTAGAATATGATGTACTCCGTATGGACTTTGCGCGCTTAGAATACTTAGTATTGTCGGAGCCACGGCTTCTTCGTCCGGGTTGACCAAGCTCCCACAAGTTGATGCGTCGCAAAGTACGAAAGCACAGAGTTAGAGTAGGAGACAAATCAAAAAGATGGCGAGAGCTGAGAGGTGGAGTAGGGTGGAAGGATTGCTTTCGTTGGTGGAGGCAGTCTAATCTGTTGATAAGAGGGCGGTGAGGAAGGAGCCCAATCAGTACATGATTTTGACTTGTGCGAAAGAACTAAATAACAAGAGCTCGTCGACTCTTGGCAGATCTACCTGCTCCGCACGGTCTTCCAGGTATTTGTAGAACTTGGAAGGGATGTAACGGTGCAAATAGGGCATCTGCGGGGAAGGCCGGGGAGGGGAATCCGTGGAAGGATGGAGAGAAATACGCGATGACTTGGCATAGGTAGACAGACAGGTAATATGCGTACGCACACCTCTTTCCTCGTGCTTGTCAAAACTTCGCGCCTCGCTGCTCCGAGGTGTTCGTCAGAAACTGTGTCAATGTATCTCGGTCTTTATTTCGGATCGATCGCGAAGATTCCTTCTTGTGTATTGACTCGATAAGGTTGTTCTGCGTTCTTAGAGGGCTCTGCGCGCAACGTTTTTGGGTCTCGTGCGTATCGACTATGCTGTGATGGTGATGGGTATTTCGGTGAAAACTGCATGGAGGTTTACGAGGCTATATCGCGTTCAGGTACGAAGCGAAACGTCTTCGCCATGAAGAGGAGAGTACAGCAAGTGTATAATACGTATATATATATATATACTTCGTATGTTTAGTCCGATCCCGCAGAAAAGGGGGGGGGGGGGGGGGGGGGGGGGTGAGCCAGGCTCGCATGTGAGGCGTATTCCCAGTCTTTTATCATCAGTGTGCATCGTCTGACACAACTTCACACGCCCTTCTTCCCCAGAACGCCCTACTATATTCCAGCAGCCCCAGCATGGATTTTGTGCTGCCTCCGGCCAAAGTTGCTATCAGGGACGCGACGTCATCGGTATGTACGGGAAGCAAGAAAAGTGATTGCTTATTAGGAGTTGGAGGGCACCAAGACGCGCAGACAGAATGCTCAACCAAGCCCGTGATCACCTCAAGTCGACCAGCCTGAGACATTCCACACACCTTAACAACCGAGTTGATACTCACACCAGTGGAATCTGAAATCGGGACCTGCTGGTTGCATAGGCTCTTTCCAATTTTTATTTTTTTTGGTTGGGTCTGACTGCTCATGCATAGCCCTACATCTAGCATTTCCGATGGAAGCCCTTCATCACCCCACAAGGTCGGCGTGCTGAGTCACCTACACGGTAAGTAGACCTTTGGGCTGTCAAGGGGTGATGATGTTCAAACGAGGAGAGAGGGAAGAAACATCTTAGCCGCTGGTAGGACTACTATCTTAATGCAAGGAGACTTGTTCTGCCTCCAGGTCTGGAGGACTTCTTATCGGTGTATATGCCTTCCCCCTGGCGTCGACGTTATAACAAGCCGTTCTTATCTCGAGACACGCAAGTATTATAGTTGCTTCGAACCAGAAATGACCGCCGATGAGAGACCGTTGGTTGTCTTATTCCTTGGTTTTGTTCTCTTTACTTCATCTTCAGGCTACCCTATACTGCCTCTCCACTTGACAGTCCCATGAGCACCTCAGTGCTACAGCGCGCAACAAAACGACGGGGGTGAGGTCGCCCGGGGATCCATGTCCCCCCATTTTCTTCAACGACAGTCCCCCTTCACTGTCCGAAGGGAAACACCAAAAGAAATAGGAGAAGAGAAGAAAAAAAAAAAAAAAAAAGAAAAAAAAAAAAAAAAGAAAAAAAAAGGGCCGAGTCCAGCAACTTTAAAGCAGCCGTGTTTCCTCCCTTATGTTATCTGGTCCTCGTTTTCCCGCTACGTCACTCAGATAGCGCAGCCGGGTTGTGCATGGCTGCGACTATCTATCTGCACGGCTACCACTACGATCTTCCAGTCGGAGCGTGCCGCACACTTAGTCCTGCAGATGTCGAGATTGATCATCGGGTCAGATTCTCCTTCCACAGTTGCCAAGTTCTCGGAGAACTCGGGGGACCGGCACTCCATGCTGTGCATCGCGAGGCATGAGAAGTCTGCGTGACCCTACCGTTCGTTGCGTGGGTTGGAAGCTTCTCGTGTGAGGAGGTGGTCCGTGAGCGGAGAAAAAGCTCCCAATCATCATGTGGCGCTGATCATTGGCTGGGCCGTCTTATCCAGACTCCAAATCCCACCCCTTGCGTGCAAGGGGTGTAATACCTAAGGTACCTTACCTTACCTTACTTCGTATAACCTGACAAGGCTCAACATCCATTTTCTACGAAGTGCAGTAATTACTCCGTATCCGTACATGCATCGCGTCGCCGACCCAACTCCCTACCTTACGAAACTCTTGGTGTTTCCGTTATCCGTACCGAGTACTTACATTACATACCTTACCTACTTCGTTGCAAGTACAACGTAGCTGCTCAAATCCGACCGCCCACACCCACTGACGTTTCCATCCACCTCTTCATCACGACAAGCGAAGGTATACACGGGCCGCGCACGCGCAACGATCTCAGCCTCGCTGCCTTCTGCTGCCTTCTTCAAAGTGGCACTGCATTGCGTCTTAAGTCGCAGCCTGGGCAGGGTGCTATACTGAGTCACCCCCGAATCCGCGTAGGGATCTCCGTGCTTTTGCCTGTTGGCAAATTGATGCCACTTATGCTAATACCAGCATAGCCACTCTACGTTTATTTGCCTCTAGTTGCCGACCCAACGTCTCTGTACTTCGCGACTCTGCGACAGCTCCCTACAGAGTGAACGGCACGAACCTTTCCGAACCGACTACACTTCGGAAGACCTACACGTCCCGAGTCATCTGTGAAGGTTCTTGGCATTCGATTTTCTCTCTCTGAAGCGAGGACAGCATAATCGGCCAGCGCGTCAGTTCCGTTGGTTATTCGACCCAACATATCAGGCAACATGGCATCTCCGTCGTTTCGCGAATCGATTAGCTCTTTGGGCTGGTCACGTAGAGATGAAGTCGAACCAGTCACCACAACACGGCAAAGCGGACTTTTGTCATCTATCCAGTCCCTGAATCCATTCAAGGATGGTGGTTATGTCCAACTACCGACTACCGAAAGCAGTGGAGCACCTTTGCCTGCTCCTAATAGGAGAGAAGAGGAAGAGGGCTGGCTCGTATGTGAGTCACCACAAAGCCCGTCATATCCCCACGCTTGTCTCCCCTGCAGATGGCCACGCGGATGGCGTTAAGTAGTCCTGTCTCAGCCTCCACACCATGTGGACAGGGAGGCCGTCAGACCTGCTTCGCGAATCCCACGCCGGCCACTCTGAACCCCATTCCCTAGGACCAAGCTGACATATATTGTTTGCATTGTAGTAAGTCGATGGGATCGGCTGATGATTTTCGGTGCCTGCAACCTTGCTGCACTTGCCTGCTTCGTCATTTGCTTTGCCTTGTTCCCAGTCCTGTCGCTACGACCTACCAAGTTTGTCATTCTGTAAGTTTTGAACCCTCTTTTCATTGTCTCCCATCCGCCTTTTTCGACTTCAAAAGTCGCTCCATCCAGACACATGGCAGTGCTTTACCCCTGCGAGTCGATGGTCAATCTTCAATGGAGCTTTTAAGTCTGCGCCTTGCGACAGCCGTTGCACCCATGAGTGGGTACCGGATGTGCATACCGCCTGGCCCTCGCGCAGGGACTCAACCGCCCCAGGCTTGAAATCACGAAACCCCCCTCGAACACTCAGCGCTTGCTTTCCAGTTGATGACAGCTGACGCATCGATGACAGGTGGACTTTGGGTTCCATTTTCTTTCTCGCATCGTTCGCAGCAGTTATGGGACCAATGGCATATGCTCGCCATCTCCTATCCGCTGAGCGCCTACCTTTCACCAGCGCCTACCTTGGCTCCCTCGGTCTATCTCTCTACTTTGCACTCGGGGTTAGTCATTCTCAGCCCTTGTATTGCCCCTTCGTGTTGCTGACTGAGGCCTTCACATAGCTTCGTAGCACCATCCTCACTCTTGTATCTGCCATTGTTCAGTTAGCGTGCCTCGTTTGGTACCTTATCAGTTATTTCCCCATGGGATCGACTGGATTGCGGTTCGCGACTTCGCTTGGTGCCAGACGCGCCGCAACTTGGATGACAGTCTGATGCTTCCTCTTCATAAATTCTACTTTACCCAGCCTCCACTTTTGTAGAGGGGCTGATTTGAAGTTCGGAGCTTCTACACTTGCAAACGAACGCCCTTCTGGGGACTTTTTTTGCGGCAACGTAGCTGGTTGGTCAACTAGATGCGTGTCATGTTTGGCTCTTGACTTGGAAGCAAGAATTAAAATTGAGATTGTTAAAAGGCGACCGGGCACCGTTCACAAGTGGTCAAGTTCGCATAATCGACTTTATCGCCATAGATATACTATTATGGCACCAGTTCCCAGCGAGCACTTCTTGGCATTACAGGCGCCAGAGAAACACCGACACTGACGCCTCTTTGTCTTCACAACAGCATTGAGTTACTGTGCTGTCTTCGGGTAGTCTGCTGGGAAGGCCAGATCCGGTGATGTGGCTTAGATAGCAACCCGTGGTAGTACAACCATACCTATCCGTTGTGTAAGGTAATTACCTTAGGCGCCTGCCTTTACTTCGTTATGACAGGATGAGTACGATCTCTTCTCGTACATCAGCACCTACCTTAGGTACCTTACTTTGGTGGAGGTAGCACTTCATAATACGGATTACAAACAAATGAGGGACTCTACGTGTATGGCTGGTACAGCATACTAGCAAACGGTTACCTCGTAGGTACCGAGAGGGGAGCCCTTGAGTCAACATGGTGAAAGGTAGATACGAAGTACTGGATGTATCTAGCCCCTCCCTCCCCTGGTCAAATTGTTCGGTAAGTGCTTCGTGTTTCCTAAACCAGTTAGTTCCCTTTTTGACACAATTGGATCCAGCGGAAGGAGAAGAGGCGGCTGCAGGAGTCCAATAACTCCCCGGCCACCAGCGAAGAATACAGTGAGTGAGCAAAAGTTTGGGGATAACCCAAAGTAGAATGCTTCGAAGCTTTTGGGGAACACTTTTCTATCAGTGGCAAAACCATATCATATTACAAAAGTAACGAATCACTGGATATTTGAAATATACCGAAATTATTGCTCACCCACTGTACAGTGTTCGGTACAGTAAAGCAGGGGAGGCATTAACGACGTTTTAGGTTTGTCAGGGTTCGAGGGTACCTTTAACATTATCATAGGATGTAGCACCATCAATCACACAAAGAGAGTTAGTTACCTGAGAAACCTTGTAAGGAACATCTGAAATCAGCCGTTGAGTTTGTATTCAACCTGGAGAAATTTCATTCAGGCTTGCATACTGTTTCTTGTGGAGCAACTTGTGTTAAACTCCACTAAGTGAATGCTCACACGGGCAGGGCTTTTTTTTCTTTTTTTTTTTCTTTTTCTTAGGGCCATCGGTGGGTGGTACGGCTCCTCGGGAGAGCAACAAGAGGGGGAAGAAAATTTTGATTCCCACAGCGGAAAGGTCTCGGCTTTTGGGGTCTTTCTTTTCTATTCCCTTTTTTTTTTCATGTTTTTTCCCCCCTACTCCGCACCCTTTTCTCAAATTCCTATCCTGGTCGGGTCGTCGTCTCCCACAACACATATCCGGCCACACGACCTACCCTACCCTCCATATTATCCTCCTTCAACGGTCATTTTCTCCCCCGCCTCCCCTTCACATTCTACTGTATCCTCATTCTTGGGTCGGGCCAGTTCTCGTCCAATTCCTCACGTCGGAGTGTGAACCGCGATTCGTCATCGCCGTGATAACTCATCAGGCTGAGCATCCCGCCCAGTTTGACACTTCGCCCCAATCGAAGCTCTCGCTTACGGATACACTGCTGTTAGTCCCGACTTTTGCTCCATCCCACTCCTACTGCGTGCCCTACCTTGATGAAAAAACAAAGCCTTCTTTTCTCTTCTCTCTCCTCGGCCATTCTTTCAGTCTCACGCAGGCCACCTCAAGTATATTTTGTACATGGTGCAGTGCAACTCGAGGAATATTTCCTGTATATGTCACAGGCATTCCCTCAAAACACAAGACCATTCTGTTTTACGTCCGCTCTCCTCAAAGAAGAGTCATTCCAAGCCGGCTTCTCCGACTCGCCAACCCATATATTGTGGATGACCTGACCAAATACCTCAACTAACCACGCGTCATACAGGAGTCGATTGTCTTACGCCGTTTGCTGCGACTTTCTCCCCCAACGTGTGCACCGACTGTTATACCTGCCCTGGAGCAGTGGATGCATTTGAATCGGGCATTCCTGCCCAGGACATAATTTAAATCGCAGAGGCCAGCACAATCCCTGGAGAACACGAGAGTGACGGATCCGGAACTTATCCTCCTTGCGGCTGCCAGCCAACATACGACGATTCTTGCCCGAACGCCTGACTATCCAGGTTTGGAAACGGCAACAATGGCTACCTCTTCGCCATTCTCATACGCACAAGCCGCCAAGGGTCAAGCAGCCCAGGTGGCAACTACACCCACCAGCGAGCCAACCGAGGTGAAAAACAACAGCACCCAGGATGCCGAACAGAGCCCTGACAGCCTGGCTGTACTTTCCAACAGTGGAATAGAAGGCAAGGCATCTGAGCATGCTAGCTTATCGACGGATTCGAAGGTGGATGTTGCCCAAGAACAGGGAAAGGGTTCTACCTCCCGCGAAACGAACTCCGAGTCGAACTCCGAGTCGAACACTCCGTCTCTGACCGGATCGAGACGCGAAGACAGCGATGCCCCTGCCGACAATCTCTCTCAAGGGGATGAGAAAAGGGCTGTCCGATCATCAAGCGCCTCCACTCGCCTTACCGATGATTCCGATTTCAAGAAAGGGCAGCGTAAAGGACGAAAAGGCAAGGCCACTGGCACTTCGGCCGCGGACTCTGATAAAGTCAAGGATAAGGAGGAGGAGAAGGAAAAGGAAAAGGAATTGCCCAAGGTCGAGCTCACCGAAGCACCACTGCCCTTGGTGAATATCTGGACTCAGCGGAAGGAAGCGCAGGCTGCCAAATTGAAGCCCAATGTCGCGACCAATGTGTCAAGTATCGGGGGTGATGCTCCAACTGCAGCCTCTACGGGGTCGAACGCTTCCCAGGAGGCAAAGAAGAAGTCGAAGACGTCCGAGGCGGGTTCGCTGCCGAAGACCACACACAACGGTCACCCCGGTGCATTCAAAGGACAGAGAAAGGCCGGCGAGGATGGCCGCGGTGAGAACGATGGGACCGCCAGAAGAGGTGCGCCTCGCGGCTCGAGGGTCGCTGAGAAGGCTGAAGCGTTGCCTCCCTCTGCAGATTCATCTGCATGGCCGACTCCGGAGACGGCTATTCGGGAAGAAAAGCGCAAGCCAACCGACAGGGTAGAGAAACCCGAGCCATCCGAGCCCAACGACGACACTGCATCGACGAAGACCAGAAAGAAGGAACAGTGGGAGCGCATCGATTTCGTTCCCACGGTCAATTGGGAGACCCCGGTTCCAGCGCTCCGCGGCTCCCGTGGGGGTCGTGGAGGAGGCAGCGGCCGAGGTGGCCGAGATGTCACCTCAAGAGGGGGCTCTCATGTCGCATCAAGCGCCCCCGTTGCTGCGGACAAGCCTGCCGATGTTACGCCCGCCGTTGCGTCGAAGGGTGCCAACGATCAACGAGACAAGGCGCGGGACGGTGCACCGTCCCATCGGGGCAATGCGCCGCCATCGGCTGTCGCGAAGCAGTCTACAGCCGACAACCCCCGCAACAAGGATCATCGGAAGCCGTCGGGCCCCGCACGAGGTGACCGCGTCAAAGACTCTACGTCAACTCAGTCTGCTGTAAGTTTGTCACGGATCACTCAATCCAGCCTCATCGCATGCTGCGGGGTAGCTATCGTGAACTTGCACTAACTTTGTAAGAAGGACCAAGCAGTGCCACCGAGGTCTGAGGGGCGTGGCGAGAAGGGTGGCCGGGGAGGAGGCCCTTACCGCGGTTCTCGAGGAGGACACCCGGCGAACAGTCACGCGATGCATGCTCAGGCACAATATCTGCCGAATGGCGGACCCTATTCTCACCCACCCATGTCGTCTCGGCATCAAAATTTCACGAGTCCGCCCCTCTCCCAAGGCAACTCGTTCTCTCAAGGGTTCGGTTCCCAGGGTCGCCCAGGAGGTCGTGGGGGAGCCAATCGGCAGTCGTCGGCCTCCACAGGCTACTCACATCGTGGGAACGGAGCTAATGGCAATTCCGCACGGCCCAGGCCTCTGTCTACACAAAACATGGCCCCGTATACATGGGATACGTACGCGGGCATGCCCATGACAGCGCCTCCTTACCCCCCTCAGCTTTTCAACTACGAGCTCAAGGCGGTCTTGACTCAGCAGGTGGAGTATTACTTCTCCGTCAACAATCTCTGCAAGGATGGTCATCTCCGGAGGCATATGGACTCGCAAGGATTCGTTTTCCTCTCCATCATCCACGGCTTTGCTCGGGTCAAACAGCTCAGCGGCGACAACTACACGTTCCTGCGTGCTTCTGTTGCTGATTCGACCCAGCTCGACTTTGTCGCTGGGAAGGACGGCATTGACCGTATCCGTTCGCGCCATCACTGGCAGAAGTTCGTCCTGCCAATGGACCAGAGAGTGGAAGCCGCTCAGACAGCAGGCCCGGAATACTTCTACTATCAGTCCATTGACCAGCAGGCCATGAACAGCATGGTCGCCGGCGGCTATCCCATGGGTTCCCCGACGTCGTACGCCAACGGCACCACGTTCGACCCGAGCGGCTACGCAAACGGAGCGCACGTTATTGATGGTAATGGCGCCCAGCTCTCTGCCACTGTTCCCGAGTTCCAACCCGGCATGTATAATACCCAGCTTCCGGATCAGGAGGGCAACAGCGTCTCCAGCAAGCCGACCGCCTCGACCAGCAGCCCGAATGGGCCTGCCGCTGAGCCAGAGGGCACCTCGCAGACGGCCAGTTCTCATGTGAATGGGACTAGCGCTATCGAGTCGCAGCCGTCGGGCGTCCTCGAGTCGTAGAGTGGCGAAAGCGTCTACGACGCCTGTGGCGGTGAGGCTTCAGCAGGCACTTGCGTATCGTTGAGCCCGTCTCAGCGCGTACGCATCCTTCAGTTCCATGCCGGAACATCAAGGTCGGGGCCGAGAATTGACGACATTTCTTATTCCAGGCTTCGATCTCATGCACTTGGCCTGAGAAATGAATCCGAGACGGGAGAGCTCCCCCGCTCAATGATCACGCTCTACCAGTTCTGGTCACATTACCTTGTGGAACATTTTGAGTGGGGTATGTTTGAGGAGTTTCGCCAGCAAGCTCTTTCGGATCTGGCACGGGAGCCCTTGTGTGCTCTCGGTCTGAAGCACCTCGTGGCATTTTACGAGTCTGTTCTTGCCAAGAAGGGTGAGGCCATTCCCCTGGATAATCTCGAACACCTTTTAGAAGATGCGAAGCGACTGCTCGCTGAGGCTACACACGGCCCCGGACTCTAGCTCGTTACCATTGGATGCTTCAGTTACGGCGAATAGTGCACGAAGCGGCGGTTCTAGCTGGATGCCAGTTGGAGGAGGTTCACAGTTCCAGGGGTCGTCTACACAACGTCCAGTAGTGCCTGCATCCAGCAGCTGGTACTTGGGACAAGATGATCTCAAAGCTATCTCTTCGGTTTTCGGAAAAAGTTGAATTTGGACGGCGTTCTGAGGTTCGCGTCCAGAGGAAATGACTGCATTTTTTCTTTTAATGATTGGAAAGAAAAGCCTTGCTGATCAGATGGCTACGAGGGAAGGGAAACAGAAAAAGGAAAATGAAGGAAGAAAGCGGGGATGGAGACTGGCAGCAATTCGACAGTAAGAGAGCTGGCTTGGTTCTCTCCATCACCTACCTCATGCGGCGGCAGCGACTTATTCCCTTCACGCCTGGGCTATGACAAATGAAACGAGGATATTGGGGGGTTGGGTTTTTTATTTTTTATTTATTTTTTCCCTTCTTCTTTTCCCTTCTTCGAGAGGCTGTATCCCGCGCCAGCTTGGCAGTTGAGTTGGCGGCACCAGTTCCTGAGCAAGCCTTCCTCGTGGTCAGGCTTTTGGGGAGGTTGAAGTGTGTAGGCTCTTCGAAAGTTGAGAAAGGTCATGGAAACCAGAGACTACGAAGGCTTGACACCTTTCTGGGATCCTCGACCTTTACCCGTCCGACGACGCACATATTTGCCCCAAGTTGCCCTCGAGAAAAGGGGTATTCCTGACCGGCTTTTACAGTCGAGAAGTTGGAGGCAGGATCAAGGGGAGTATGGCCGGTGGGGAGAAGGTTGTCGATTTGATGGATATTGGACTTGCTTTTCCTGATGCCTTTAAAAAAAAAACTGGACTAACAGCGAACCAAACCCAGCGAAAATGGTGGCTGTTGGTGATACACTGTACGAATAGAATCCAGACACGAAGAAAATAACGTTTGCACCACCCACAGGGATTGATTACATAACATATCCTCTCTTGTCTGACCGTGCTACGTGTACAGTCATTACCAGAGTGGCACATACCTGCCCTGCATACGTAAGGTGGTTCACTTGCGACTTGCCAACAGGGTACCTAGTCAGCCAAGGTGTCACATAGTGGGCCGGCAGACGGTCTTCCCTGATCCCTTTTCTCGCTCTGGCCTCGGCTTGCTCTTGTGCGATCCCTTAACTTTCGACATACCCGTTGTCGACTCGTCAGAGCAAAGCTGCAGTATCTATCTGCAGTGTACAACTTAGCATACGCAAGTTTAGACGGCAGTCTTTCGACTTTGGAGGCATTACGTCCGCGCACCAAGTCGATTAGGGCACATCCAACTTCAAGAAAGGTCTCATCTCGTCACCCCGCACTACCTACCTTACGTTATTTAGCGCACATGTATAATTACTTCGTATATACGCTGTCACCGTGAACTATGAGAAATTCCAACTCGACAAAGTCCCCTGGGCTGCCGCTGAGAGCCGGAGGGCAGTGCTGCGAGGCGACGTGGGGAGTTTGCTGACTGCATCGAGATCCGCACCGCACTAACATGCAAACAGAGAGAGAACCATGGGAACTCGTTTATATGGTATTCCGCTGTGGCAGGATACTGTCTCTCACCTATCTGTTCTCATCTGAGCGCAAAGTGCGGTGCCTGACTCTTGCCCTCGTACCTTATGTAAGGCAAGCATGGTCGGTCTTATGGGAAAACGCTTGCTTGGCAGGCGACGACAGGGAAAGAGCCTCAGTCCTTGGCCATTCCACTGAGTACCATCACCATAAATAAGCGTACGCGGGTTTCAAAGTACTACTCAAACGTACCTTCGCCTTTCTATTCTTTTTATATGTTTTATTCTTTGTGTTAATTATCCACATCGTGTCTACCAGTGCCCAGGTCTGCTCCATTCCCGTGACGACATACCGCTGGTAGGCATTGCTCAATAGTCACTTTTAACTAGTGCTGCGTACCCTTGCGAGCACCCTGGAAAGCATGTGGAATGACATACAGAGGTACGAATAAGATGAGGCAACATGGCAGCTGTTGAGGCAGTGTTTGACCAGCCAGTACGAAGTACAGCCTGCCTGTACTTACTCCGTAGTACGTACATACGCGCGTACGAAGTACATCTAGATAACTAGATAAGGTAGTAAGCTTGGGATGGCTTCCGCCCCTCCTCGCCCCTCGCCCCTCCCCTCCTTCCCCACTTACCAACTGCCACAGCACCGTCCCACTACTGTACGTCGCACTCCGTAATACCTCATTGCCTTTTCTCTCTTGTCCCTCCTCTTTAACTCTTCCCCCCCAACTGACCGTTTCATTTTCGCCACCCTTTTCAACATACCATCTCGACAACTCTTCTTTTCCTTCTAGCAGCCACCCCCATCTTAATACTGTGCAATCCAATATCCGACTTGGTAACAATCACGAAACCAACGCACATACGTTGGGAGGGTGTACGAATTTATGACAGATCGCCTCACTTCCTCACCAACAACCAAGCCCCGAGCACGTCTCCGTTACAACTTGATCATTTTGAAAGCTCAGGTATGAGTTACGACAATGATCCTCGCGACTATGGTCGTCGCTATGTGCGCGAGGACAGCCGTCCCGAGCGAGAATCCCGCTTTGCCGATGATTCCTACCTGAAACCTTACAGCCCCCGCGAGCTGATCCCGCGGAGACGCGAAGACAGTGATTTATCCGTCGAAGAGGTCCGCCGGGAGTTCCCGCCTCCTGGATATCGCGACGCTCGCAGGGCCCGCTCAGCCGAGCCTGGTCATTACCAAGACTATCGCTATGACGATCGTTCCCGGGATCATCATGAACGCGACTACTACGACCGCGACTACGACCGCGACTACGACCGCCGAGGCAAGAAGAGCAGTAGCACATATTATGAGGACGAAGAAAAGAAATCTCGGAAGCGTGTCCTGAATCAGCAAGAAAAGATCATTGCGGCGGTTGCTGGCGCCGCCCTGGCTTTCGGGGGGAAAGAGCTGTATGATCGCTATGATGCCAAGGAGAACGGCACCCCCGTCGAACGCAACTACCTCACCTCGGCAGCCCTCAGCGCGGCTGGTGCTCTGGCAGGGTATCAAGGCGCCGAGATCTACAATAAGAAGGCCGGCAAGCACGACAAGCAGTCCCAGCTGATCGCACACCGCGGCCGTGACGACGATGACGATGGACAGAAGAAAGGTGCCAAGTCGTTTCTCGAGAGTGCCCTCGCGGCCTCGGGTCTGGGTGCTGCCGTAAAGGCGGTGACAGGCGGCGGCTCCGACAGCAAAGACGACAAGGACGACACCCGAAGCCGCCGCGGCAGCCAGGACGGCGATTCTCTTGCCCGGTCCAAACCTCGCGAGCGCGACGCCGGCAACGACAAATTTGCCAAGGCACAGAAGGCTGCCATGGCCTCTCTTATCGCCGGTGCGACCGAGGCCTTCCGCGTCGCCAGGGAGCCCGGCGGCTGGAAGGGCGAGAAGACGAAGCGCATAGTTACGGCTGCTGCCGGTGCTGCCGCCGTCGACGCCGCCCAGGGGGGCGACAAAGATGGCAAGATGAGCCTGGCCGAATCCGTCATCGGAGGTCTCCTGGGGAACCGTGTCATCAACGGTTCGAAGAGCAACATCGAGGAAGATAAGGCGACAGGCCGTAGCCGATCTCGATCTCGTGCGCCTTCTCGCTCAGGAGCGGACGGCGGCAGTGGCGGCGTCAGTGGTCTCGCAGCGCTGGCGACGGCTGGTCTCGGTGCGCTAGGCGCCAAGAAGGCCTACGATCACGTAAAGGACAAGAGGTCGCCGAGCCGGGGCCGTAGTGCGGACTCGATCGATAGTCGAGATGATCGTCGACAACGCAGCCGGAGCCGCAGCCGCAGCGTGGTTGACGCGGCGCGCAAGAGGCTCGCAAAGTTGGGAATCGGAAACGGTCCCGATGACAGGGACGCAGACCGAGACCGACGTTCCCGTCGGGACGACAGCGAGTACGAGGATACACGGAGCTCACGGCGCAAGTCACGGAGGTACTCGGATGAATCCTACGACGATGATGATAATGGTCGGTCCCATCCGTCACGAGGTACCGGGGATGCTCGCGACCCCGGTCACAGGGACAGGGACAGGGACAGGGACTCCAGGGATTCTTATTACGACGACGACAGGTCTTACACTAGCAACCGGCGGCGAGACCGGTCGCGGCGGAGGCACGGCGGGCGGTCTGACGCGGGATCAGACTCGGATCTGGGAGACTCGGATGATGATCTGAAGACATCGAGGAGAATGAGAGGTAAGCAAGTTCTCACCACAGGCCTGGCGGCCGTAGCCACCATTCACGCAGCGAACGGAGTCTATCAAAGCATGGAGGCGCGGACGGCTCGGCAGAAGGCCGTTCGCGAAGGGAGACTGAGCCTCGAGGAAGCCCGAAAGTTGAAAGCGAAGGCCATGCTACAAGATGCGGCCCAAATCGGCCTGGCTGGGCTAGGCATTCATGGCGCCATGTCTCAGCTTAAGTCGGCAAAGGAGAAGACCAATGAGTGTCGGAATTGGGAACACCGGCGAGCTATCCGACACCAGAGGCGGATCGAGCGACTCGAGCGGCAACCGCGGCAGCAGGAGCAGCGGCACAACGATGGCGATGGCCGGTCTTCTTCTTCATCATCTTCTCCCTCAGGGTCCAGGTATAACTACGGAGACCGGTTTCTCGACGGAAACCACTACTCTGTCGGCGCTTTGCCCCCGCCGTCTGTCAGATAACGGTGACAAAGACGACAGACGTTGAAGACGTGCACCTACTCAGGCGACGGAGCGCGGCATTGTGGTCATTTTCACCCTCCGCCTCTGCTTCCGCCTCTGCTTCCGCCTCTGCTTCCGCCTCTGCTTCCGCCTCGCTTCGGACTGAAGCGACCCTTCGAACCATTGCATTGGCCCGTCGGTTGGAAGATGCCCGTCCCACCCGCATTACCTATTTTATTTACGCATCAACCATAATATTGGGGTTCCTGCATGAATGACATCACGACGATCACTACAGTCACGACTTGGATGATTACATGAAACAAATGAGAACGGCCGAAAGCAAAGAGAGAAAGAAAAAAAGAGGAACTAAAACTGGGACATGGCATCTTAAGATGAGAACTTGGCATGGGATGTGTTGTCACGTTAGAGCTACACGCAGGGACATCTAGAGAGATCTAGAAGGGCTTTCTCACGCATGGCAAAATGTCGAAACCTCCTCTCCTCCGTCCTTTGGCATGGCTTGATAGACTCAGGAAGGCGCTTTTCTCACCTTTCTTCTTCCCTCTCCCCAGTTACATTTACTTGTGGATTTTCGACGAGCTGATCACTGATTACCGTGCATCGTGATAGATCGACGCCACTAATTGGGAGAGTTCCCTTAGGGGATAAACACGCACATGCCCGACCCATCATGTCCATGCATTACGGTTCGCCCACGCGGCGCGGCTAAGACGACAGCGTGTGGCCAGGCGAGAAACTTCCGGAGCTGAATGCAACGGAGACTTGGCCATTTACGACGAGGCGATCTTCCACCGAGCGACGCGAGCCGATGACTTGCAATTCCCGACAAAAATGTGCTAGCAGATCAGAGGGGAGAAGGATGGTGGGCGCTGCGCCAATCTCAACCAGTAATCGGGGGGTTTGCAACCGAGACGATATGAGCGATGAGAGTTTCAGGCATTCTCCACACGGGAGCCAAGAATGCAGGGAGGGCGGGGAGATTTTCCTACCTGACTCGTCCCGGACCGGATGGAGCGGGTTGCGGCGACTAGCGGTGAAGAATGGAGGGCAGGATGAGGATGAGGGAGAGGAGGGAGAGGAGGGCAGGAGGGGTGGAGGTAAAGAAGGTATCCGTATATTTGTAGTGGGAAAGGATCTTGGATTCGGGCCCCTTTTCTATGATGAGACGCATGTTTCCTTGCCATTTGAGAATGAATCATATTTCTGCTTTTGGGTCCTCTTTTTACCTTTTTTTTTTCTTCCTTATCTTCCTTCCCCCCGCCGTTTTAATTTTGCAAGAATCGCTTGTTACATACGTCGTGGATGAACATAATAACTTCAAAAGGCGACGGGAAGAGTTTCGGGGGCTTTGAATTTATAGATATTCTCACCTTCCACGACAAGAGATGGGACTTGTCCAACCATTCACGGTGTCGTAGCATTTGAACCGTATCACCAACGGTCACGGGAAGACAACCTGGGTATGTCCATGATGGAAACCAAGAGAAGTTTCCACAGTCCATTGCATCATGCAGTTCGAGGTACTTTATTAGATAAGTTGTGTTCGGCAAGTAACATGCTCCGTAACTCAGGTATGGAGCCGGACCCTACCAAGTACGGAGTACGAAGTACGTACGTTGTACACTAAGGTAAGGTACCTTACCGGGAAAATGGGGTACGAAGGTACAGTTGCAGCACGGCTATCTATAGCTGTTACATACTGGTATATAGTTGTATAATTATGTAATATTATAACCGCTATTATAGTTGCCGACCGTTGTATAGAGTTATAGGAATAAATACCTTTCTAAATATTAATTATTATATATACTATAGTAATTTATATAAGGAGGTATAATACCAGTTATTAAGGAACGGATATATTACTCTATACTAATATCTATAGGGAATACTATAAGCGAGTCCCCTAGATTTTATCTTTATCGTCTGCTTTATAGCTATCTTCTATATGCCCGTCCTTTACCCTCTACTCTGCCTTCTATTATTCTTTTTGCTGCTTCTGCTACCGCTACTCTTAATTATAAAGACCGATAAGATTTATATTATCGGGTAAATATCCTTCTTATTCGGCGGCTTAGGTTTCGGCTTAGGTTTCGGCTTAGGCTTTAGCGGCGATATTATCGGTAGCGACCTCTTCCTATCGAGCTTATTTAGTGGCCTCTATAGTAGCTATTATAGCTAGAAATCTTTAGAAGAGTCTTTCCTCCTACTCCTCCAGGTAGGTAGGGGGTTAGGGGTCTTAATACGAGGATATAATTCTGTAGTTATATTAATTTAGGTGTATATATCTTAGGGCCTATGTAGACTTATAACGTGATAATAGAGGTGGTGGTGGTGTTACTGCTATTCTTATTTAATTATAAAGAGTTTATCGTAGGGAAGGAGGAAGAGTTAATTATAAAAAGGCGGATAGTTAGTAGTTAATATTAAGCGGATAATAGTGATTACCTAAATAATAGAAAGAACAAAGAACCGCATAATAGCTTTTATTTATAGTATATATATTAGTAGTTACTAGTAGCTATCGTCTTAAGATTATTATATAGACTATAGAGCCGCGAGTAAATCTAACTATCGTTATTATTAAGAATAGTGACCCTAATCCTGGCCCTAACTAACCTGCCTTTATAATACCCTTTATACCCTAATAACGGCGACGGAGAGATCGTAGGTATAAAGGTGAGTTATATAGTATTATAGTATCTATCGTCTCGGACTTTATCGTCTCGGAGTCTATCGTCTCGGGTTCTATTATCTTAGAGTTCTCTTCTTAATCGTAAATACTATTATATCCGCTAAAGTGATAATAATCCGACTAACTGCCCTGCTACTGCTAATTGGACGGATAACCACCGAATTAGTACGGTTAACTACCTGGCTAAGGACCTGGTTACTAAGAAATAGGCTAAGGAGGACCCGGCTAAGGAGGGCTAAACTAATACTATTATCGAGCCTATTAGGTGTTAGGCTAGCCACTGTAAGGGCCGAGGGGAGATCTAGGTAGTTTACTACTACCTTAACGATAACCTATAATATTAAATCCACTACTACTACTTATAGATGTATTAAAGAGGTTGCTAGACCTACTACTAGGGGTAGTAAATAGAGGGCTATTCTTAGTAGGAGAGCTAGATCTATAGGGCGACCTAAAGTAATAGCGAGTAGGAGTAGTATTAGACTTAGAGAGGTCTATTAAGTCAGACCCAGGCGAATAGGAATATATAGGGTTAACTGGAGCACGAGGCGTATAGCTAGTAGGCGGGGGGGGAGGCTTTTTATTATCCTAAACACGGCTAGCTAGAATTCTATTACTACGGCTAATATAACGCCGTTTTACCGGGGCAGTATACTAGGTGAATATCTCCTTATCGACGGTAGTAAAACGGGGATAGATAGTAAGGGACTTATACGTTTTAATAATCTCCTTACGAAAGGTTGAATTATTCTTACGAGTCTCGCTGGTACTAACGTTAGTATTTAGAGCACTCTCTTTATTAATTAAGGTGAAGAATATAGGTATAAGCATGTTAAAGACGATGCAAATAAAATAAAATAGGAGACTATCGCGGTCGTAGAAGGTGGTCTTAAAGTCTATAATCTTAGTGACGACTTTATAGTAGGTCTGGATAGTTAAACGGGTAAGACCTTATAGTAGTAGCTACTTCAGTTAGCTGGTAGCGTCGTGATTATAAAGGAGGTCCTTCTTATAGAGGATAAGGCACTCTGGATACTCCTTAGTAAACTCCTAGGTAAATCTATATATATAGATAAATAGGTGCTTATACTATAGGTTGCGATACTAGTTATTATAAAGGGTACGAAGAATATAAAAGTCCCGGGCACTTATCTGATATCCTGCGAAGACCTTAAGGATGGTATCGGCTATGAACTGGTTCGTATAGAATATAACTTAGTTCTTCCGGCACTCGATATCTAATTATAGCTGTAGAGCCTCTTTATTATCGGGGGGTAGGTAGGAAAGAATATAATCGGGTAGTCGGCCTAAGCTTAATAAGTATTCCAAACCGGCACCTCGTTAGTTAGGTTTAAGGAGCGTAAGATAGTTCCTGACTAGATTAAAAGAGATTTTCCACTCGGGGGTATCCTTTAAGGCGATAGTATCGGCGTAGTATACTTTAAGGCAGAGGTAGGGATACTTGATAAAGAACCTGACTAGAGTCTTATCGGCGTTTATAGGACGGGGCGGCTAAAGCTGGGTAGTTAAACGTTTAGGGCGAGAAGGACCGCTACTATGAGTTTACTACTGCTAGGGCTACTGCTACTGCTAGGACTTATCGCGTTAACGTTAGCGCTAGACTAGATTACGAGATAGGATATCCGTAGGGATATTGCTATACTGTGTGCCCTTAGGGATATTACTATACTACGTGCCCTTAGGGATATTACTATACTACGTGTCCTATATATATATTAGCATCAAAACTCCTAAGGCTTAACTAAACTATTAAACCGTGCTTACCGAGTAAGGGTTATCTTTAGGCGCTTAAGAACTAGATCGTTTAGAAGGCGTATAAGAACCCTGGCGATAGACTTAGGTATTAACTGGGCCCTGTGATTATAATAGGCCTCGCTATTAACCGCGGCCTATGCGGGCGCCTCCGCGGCCACGGCCACGGCCACGACTACGGCCACGACTACGCGTAGGAGTATTCTCTTTATTCGGAGCAGATATAGTAGTCTAAATTATTAATAACTGGTAGTGGATAGAGATAAATACCTGTTAAGGGTTAATATAGATGTTGAAGAAGAGAATATGGGAAGGGTAGTAATAGGGAAAGGGAAAGAAAAAGGTCTTTATTAGGGATCTTATAACCTTTTTAAACGCGTGCCTGCCGTTCTATTAGTAAACGACTAGCGTCGTTAAGATTCTAGCGCCTTCCTATTACTCCCGTTATCGTTAAAGCTTTTAGAAGAGATAAGACGCTTCTATTAGCTATAGCGCATTCGTTAATCACGTGAAAGAGACCTTACCTTACCCCTTTCCGCTAGTAGCTTCTAGGCAGGTTTAACTGCCTATAGCCTGCCTGCTCGATATCTTCTACTTCTTCTAGACCTAGAGGATATTTATCCACCTCCAGCTTTTCTCACACTTTTAATACCACCTCTAGCTTTTCTTATACTATTAATACGACCTGCTTTTACCCTCTAAAAACACTGTTATTTTGATTCTTTGAATACGGTGGCGAGATGCCTTATCGGGGTCATCTTTTCGATACCGGCGACCTAGGGATATCTAAAGCTTTTAGCCGGCGGTTAATACCGAGGTTCGATCTAACCGCTAAATACTAATATTATTAGTATAAGGGTGATAATACGGTAATAATCGAAGACCCTTACGATTTTGATAATCCCGGCGGTGCTAACGATAATAACGGTGATTTTTATATAACTAACGAGGTATATAGAGACGAAGCTAGTAAAGATATTAGTGATATAGAATCGATTAATACTACTAAGAGTTTATACCTACCTCTCCTACCGGTATAGACGTATTAGGTGATAGCTAACTAATAGTATTAGGTGTGATTAATATAGAGCTCCTTAACGCCTATGAACTTAAGGACGTTAGAGATACCCTCCTTACGGGTTTTGATAAAGCCTAGCTGGTATAAGCTATTAAGTATAACGAGCTGTATAAGGATAAGCCGACTACTGCCACTGCTATTACTACTACGTAGCCTTTTAACGAAGACGACAATATCGGAACCACTATAGATATCTTGCCTACTATAGATATCTTACCTGTTATAGACGTTAATATACGTTAGGCGACTAAGATACTATAGTCGGTATCTATCGATAACCCGACTATACTTCACCTATATAAACAGAATTAGTTTAAGTTCCTTAATGACTTCTATCTTACCCTTGGCCTTTTTGCCTATATCTTTAGACTAAACCGTATAGAGTATAGTGCTCTCCGTGAGATCCTTTATCTGCTGGATAACGATAAAGCAAAATAGTTACCGAATTAGTTATCCACCTTAAAGGACCGTGTCACTAGGTGATTCCCTCTACTGGATATACGATAGGGATAGGTGCCCTTAATTCCCGAAAAGCTGCCGACTAAACGTGTATCACATAAGGATAAGGAGCGCCTACGTACCGGTAAAATTATAGCCCTATTATATATAATAGACCTAAGCAGCTTATTCGTTAATCTTCTATTATCCGATATAATATAGTCTATACATTAAGACCTCGCTCACTTTATTAATATACCGACTAAGCTCTATAAATCCTTAAGCTTGGTATCTTCCACACGTATAATATCGGGCCGTTTTATATATATTATCGACGCCGAAGGTTACAAGGTCGATATAGTGCTACCGTCGGATTTTATTATCTTCTGCTATACGGTAGAAGCCTATAGTTATTAAGTTATATCTGTAGAAGACCCTTTAATAGGCTATATCGGCCGTGTGCGTGTAGTCGGACTTAATTACCGCAGTACGCCTTACATAGTAGTAACTAGTGCTATCGTTCTTTAGGTTTAAGAGGCTTTCGGTCTTACTAATAGACGGCATAATACACTAATCCCTTAATATCCACTGCCCACGCTAGTCTCTACTTAAGATAGTAATAAGCTCCTATTAACTAAGCAGATTACCTGGGTGCCTGAAGAGCACCTTATCCAGCGGCTTATAGTTATACGGTGCGATTATTATACGGGTAAGACTCTTAAAGACTCTAGCCCGATAGTGAAGAAGCCACGCGGTGGTAAAGGGAAGCGGAAGGAGAAGAGTTTCCTAAAGCACTTACCTAGAGTGGTCGAAAAGGCTATTCGTAATAGCCCACTTATCGTTAAGCGGATTATTCGAGGCCGGGGGTCTTAAGTTATCCCTCTATATTATACTTATCCTATCCGTGCCGAACTCGAGATTATAACCTATAGTAGGGCTATATTCGAGGAGTAGGATAAGAGCTAGCCCGATTCGGTTATATCCTGTCTAATCCTTTACTTTATTAACGGCTTTAGGTTATACCGTAACTCGTATAGGTCGTTAATTAGGGTGTACGCTATTATTACGGGACTTTTAGGTAAGGACCGCTATCGTCAGGCTAATATCTTCCCTATTACACTTAGCCCGTATAGATCTAACTTCGACGATACTATCTACGCTCTACGGTCCCTCGGTATACTAGATAAGGGCGTTAGGAAGATTATTAACAGTATAGAAAAGATTGTCGTTATACTAACACTTTGCTACCTGGGTAATATACCATAGCAGGATAAAAATAGTGGGTTCTGGGGCTTTAAGGCTAATAAATTCTATCGTTTCTACTATATCGGTGAATAGGCTGTTAAGTTAGGTAACCCTGATTCGATCCTTAGCTTCGATATCGTAACCTATAGTAGATACTACCACTAATATATCGAGATACGGACAGATATATCGAATCTCTAGATAGCCGCTAACCGTAACTAATACGGAATAACTTAGGGTATCGGCGAGTCGGATCCGCCCTTAGTAAGCCTAACACCTGCCCTTAACTTAATCCTCTCCCGACCCCCTAATCCCGTATACTTAGAGTATTAAGGCCTAGCAGAATTAATATATACTCTTCTAATTAATAATATCCTTATAGAAGCAGGTAAAAAGGAGTATACATAATAGCTCCGTATATAGCTATTCCCGCCTAGCTAGGAGCGTCTACAGTCACCTATCCACTACCTACGCAGCTACTCTTTAGCTACAGATACACGATAGTCTGTTATAGTCCTTATATTACTATGGGCTTAGCTAGAACCTAAGTATATCTATCCATAGTTTATAAAGACAGCTCGTGCCCGCTTATAATACGGCCTCGGCTTATAGTATAATCCTTCCGGGGTTATCAACTTTATAATTCAGGTATATACTAAGCTGGCTAAGTCTAATAGCGTCCTTATAAGCTTGAGCGTGTCAAAGGCTGACCGCGATAATATGCTGGATATTATTATGGCCTCCCGCCGTTTATACTAGTAGCTTTATTAAATGGCTTCGTAGTCGATTATATCGAATCCTTAAGCGTGGAGTACTATCGGAAGTCGTTAGTTAATGCCTATAAGTCGCTAGTAGTCTATAATACCACCCCCCTCTTCTCCCGGAAGATAGTTTACGATATTACCTTTAGGGATAATAGCAGAATAGGATATATCGCGCCTAACTATCGAGGAATAGAACGACGTATAGGTATAGATAATAGCTCCTAAACGTATAACATAATACACTTATAATATAACGCGGCCGAATATATATATAGGCGTTTATTACCCTGTTATTACGGAGGAATACGCCCTGCCTATTAATATAAACACGTTACCTAGAGAAAATTAGCACCGGTTAGTATTATAGCCTGCCCGGTAAGGTAAGGTGGGTTTCCTAAGGTGTAAGGGTGGAAATTAGAATGCAGTAATTTACCGTGTCTTCTATAAAAAGAGTATTCTGCACCTTACCTTACCTTAGGTTTTAGGGACCCCACCTCGGGTATTACCCTTACCGCCCCTCCCTGGTATCGTCTAATACTTTATAGGTACTCGCTAACTGCCGTGTTTATAGATAGTTTAAGAAAAAGGTGTATAAGATAAACTATATAAACGTCGAACGGCTCCTATTAATAAAGGTTAATATATAAATCACTATTCGCTTTATCCTTAGGAACTCCTTCTACGAATAAGACGGCAAGCTTACCTAATAGATAGCCCGACTATACTAAGACTACCCTACCCTATTTAATAACGTGTTACCTCGTATAGATAAGCGAGATATGCTTTTTAACGAGGAAGACGCCAAGCTTAAACTATCTAGCGGGGATACTAACTACCGGAGGGCTGCCGTTATTAGTCGAGTTCTAGTAACCGAGGTCCGATATATATACTATATTATTAACGACGAACTACTCCCTACCCGGTATACCGGTATATCTGATTCGTTTAAACGGGCACTACGGCGGGCATACACAAACGAATACCACACGGATAAGATCTACGATTTTGGTTCCCGGGGTATTTAGTGGTCTAGTAAGCTAGGCTTTATAGATAGGTACGTTAATATTGATATATAGTATAAAAGCCACGGGATAAGGCTTTAGCGATAATTGCCTTTCCTAATAGAAAATATAAGTTGGATTTTGCACTACTATTATATACTGCCCTATTTCTGTCGATTCTATCCGCGTAACTTTATCTTTTTAATTTCTCTATATATATAATACTAAGGGAAAACATTATCTTTATCGCGTATTAACGCGCCGTTAAGATATTAATGCCGGAAGTTTACTATCCCTGCTAGAAGTATTATCGTAGTGCCTTACTAATAAAAGTGTGGTGGTGTTAAGACTATTAATACTATTTCTACTATATATTCACGTCCCTTTATATCTTATTATAGTGTTTATCTTATTCCTCTATATCTTATTATACCTTAGCGTGTATCCCTTATACTAACTATAAGGTGCCCTATCTTAGGAACTTCCGGCAATATATCTTCGCACGCGGCGACTATATTAGGTATCACGATAATACCAAAATTAGTCGGATTAACCAGATCTTTATCTATTCGATTAAGGTTTAGGATAATAGAAAGCGGATCTTTATAATTATTACCCCTATTACTATTCTTAACGATAAGGAAGAAATCTTAGGTCTACCGAAGGTCGAGTACTAATACAATAAACCCCTGATTATCGGTATTAATTTAATCTTACCCACTAAGCTTTATATCGTGCGTATCGATAGCGATATAGTAGTTTAGGTAAACTGGTAAGTTAAGTGGCTCTAGATAAGGTAATTCTCTTCTCCTACCTAATATTCCTTATTTCTATATATAAAGTCTAGTTACTAAGATAAGTATAAATATCTTTAGATCTAGAACTAAGGTGCCCTGCCTTATACTATCCCTTAGCCTTTAAGGTTTAACTTTAGTATACGGTGTACGGTAGGTTACCTAGTCTACTACCTCCTACCTTACCTCACCTTGGTTTATAACTAACCAGGGCAGCTAAGGTAGAGATTATACTATACCTTCGGTATATATTACGCCCATGGTAAGTTAGTCTACCTAATTCCGACTATAAGGTACCTAACTAACTTCCCGTCGATAGTACTCCCGTGATAGACTCCGTCTTCCTTCGTACTAGGTGCTAATCGTAAGAGCGTATCGATGATAACAGGACTTAAGCGTTATTAGCTAGGTGGGTGGTTATACGTTAAGTAAGGGTGGAGGGTAGTGATAAAGCTCGCGAAGTGTTAGCGATAGCACTAGTTAGTTAAACTTAGAGAAAATTTTATTACCACTAATTATATTTTTCCTACCTCCTAGCTAATAAACGTTAATACGCTTCTAAAAAGTGATAAGTACGTACCTAGCGATATTAACTGTACTAACCCACTTTTAAGCTGCGTAACGGTAAATAATTCTATAACGATTAACCTATCCAGTAACGGTTATTTACTTAGTAATTATTAGTCTTATAGTTACGATAAATTTTTTTATAACACTTGCCGGGCTATATAACTGTGGATAACTGTATCTTCCCCCCACATCTTCCCGGTAAGGTAGTGTACAAGCTGCTGCTAATGCAGTGAAGACACGGACGAATCGGATGAATCAACGAATCCGTATTAATGGCTGCTTTGCCTGCCAACTTGCCAAACATCTACGGGGTACCTACGCTGATTCTGAACATGCGTGCATAAGCGGGCTTGGAGAAGTAGGGCCTGGGGTTTAGGGATAGGAAGGGGGGGGTACGGCATAATCGACGGTATGCAAGTCCCCCTCGACTTCCCTCTCTCGCCAGGGTGGCCTCAAAGAGAAAAGGCCCTTACCTACCTGTCAGCTGCATACACTTCATACTCGCAGCCTGACTGCGTTTGTAGCATGACTACCTTATTGTAGATGCATAGAGATCGGGATTTACGGAGAACCACACATTGTAGCTCGAAATCATCACAGGTCAGAGGCAAAAGACTGCAAATTGGAAGAGAGACATATTGTTGTCGAGAGTGATGCTTCAATATATCTCGCGTGCTGTTAAGGAAGGTAAGAGTACCGAACAGATAAGGTACACGTGTAGAGAGACCCTGGTGGGCATGAGAAGATGATGTATACCTAATGTACACTGTACACCGTAACCGTATGGAAGAGACGTAAGGTAACTAAGGTAAGGTAAGGTATACCAGCGTAACCGCTTGCCCTCTACCATTTTCTTCCTCTCCTCCCCTCCTCTCCTCCCTCCTCCCTCCCCCGCCCCCTCCCCCCGCTTCCCATGTTCAAGAACCTCGTGTGGAATAGACTGACACCGGGTTGGGGGTATACCTAAGGTAGACACTAAAGAAACCTGTGAGGCATCGAATGGAAGAAGGGGACCGTCCGTTTGATGCCTGCCATCACTGGTAACAGGGCAACAACATAGCACCCCCGCAGCCGTTGTCCATTCGACCATTTGCTCATGGCTGTGTCTTGTCGCTCTGCTGCTTCCATGCCTGCGCCATGGCCAAAATATTTGACAAATTCTTCGTTTGTTGTTCGTCCACCGGGAACACGTAGTCGACATACTCCTCCCACGTGTCGTCTTCCAGTCGCCGTCTGCGTTTGGTCTTGCGCGGCATCTGCTTTTGTACCCGTTCCACGTCCTCCGCCGTGCCGTGCGTCTTCTCGAACGACAACCACGCGTTCAGCAGCATGACCGTCTCTTCCTTGAGCTCCTTCTCCCGCATCCCCTTGTGAGCCCGCTCAAACACCTTCCTGGCGCGGGCCTTGGCCTCATCGCTCACCGGCTGTTCTTCCTCTTCTTGCACATCGACCTCATCCTCCTCCGCCACGTTGAGCTCGAAGTGGGCGTAGCTGATCCAGACCTTGACGTGGTCCGTCTTCTCCAACAGCCGTTCGTATAGCGCTCGCGCGCGTTCGTACTCGCCTTCTTCCTCCTCGAAGTCGATGTAAGCTTTCCATAGCAGCTCTGGCATGTCCAAAACCGGCTGGTCGACCGCAAGCTCGAAGATGGCCCGCGTACGATCCAGGTCATCCAGGCCCCGCTCCAGCTCGGCAAACTTGATCCACGTCTGGCAATTGGCCGGGTTCCATTGGACGTGTTTCTCGTACAACGTGCGGCATCGGACAAACTCAAACAGCTTCAGCTCCAACTCGATGTATCCCCGAAACAGTTTGTCCTTCGGACACAGCCCTATGGCCTGCCCCAGTGTCTTGCGCGCCGCCGTTAGTTCGCCTTGTCGAATCTCGAATTGCGCCTTCAGTAACCACATCTTGGCAAATGTGAACTTCTTGTGGGGGATCAAGTCGAGGCACACTCGGTAGACCTGTCGTGCCCTTGTCACATTCCCGGCCTCCAGTTCCTCCCAGAGCGCGTAGTAAATCCACAGGTAGATGTATCGCCTCCAGAACCTCTTCTCCTGCGCTGGCGGAACCTGGGCCACTGCTCTCTCGTATACGTCCCGAACCCGGTCCGCATCGCCCGACGTCTCCTCGAGCCGTGCGTAATCGAACCAAATGTCGTAGTTCTTCGGACTCTCTTTGACCTGGTTCTCGTAGTACACGCGCCGTTTCGAGAGTACCACGTCCTCGACCCCGTCCTTGTCGCCGAACTGCTTCTCAAACGTGGTGTAGGCCTTGTGCAGTGTCATGGCCCTCGACCGTGGTAGCCGATCCAAGGCGTATTTGTAGATGGCCCTGGCCCTTTCGTATTCCTTGAGCTTGGCCTCGAAGCGCGCGTAGGCAATGAACAGCCTCTCATCCACGAGTTCGTCGCCCAAAACCTCGACAGCGGTCCCGAAGACGTCCCGTACCATGTCGCTGGTCCCGAACTCCTCCTCGAAGCGCGTCCATTTGACCCAGTTCCGTGGCTCCGGGTGCACCGCGGTGAATCGCCGGAAGATGTCTCGCGCCCTGTCGATTTCGCCGTATCTTTTCTCGAGCTTGATGTATGCGCCCCACGCCGCCTCGTCCGGATGCCATTGCATCCAGCGGTCGAACACCTGCCGAGTCCCGGGTACGTTCCCGAGCATCTCCTCCATGTAGACGTACTTGTACCACAGCTTGTCCACCCTGGGAAGCCGAGTGACGGCGCGATCCAGCAGGTTGCGCGCATGGTTGATGTTCCGCGTCTTCATCTCCGACTCGATATACCTGATCCATAATTGAACCGAGTTCGGATGGACATCCAGGGCTCTCTCGAAGATGGACCTGGCCCGCGCCAGCTCTTTGTTTTGGATCTCCCATTCGGCATATCGGAGCCAGTTGTTCAGGTTGATGCGATTGCGACGGACATAATCCTCAAACTCGCGTCTCTTCCGTCCCTGAAATTCGTGAAGTTCTTCGAGGTCGGAGAATCTCTGCGTTGGCGCTTGGATAGCGACCTCCTGACGATCAACTGCCTCGCGCAGCAGCTGCTCCGCCGAGATCTGAACAGGCGCCGCGGCCTTGTTCTTGACCTTGGGCGGTCCGCGAGTTGACTCCATTATGACTGTGGTTGGACCTTTCTCTCTCAAGGGTGTAGTCGGCTAAGCAGCGTCCGCATGGGCTACTTTGCGGCGTAGAGCGGAGTTGAAAGGGGGAGGAAAGACAACACGTCTGTTGCATCTTTGGCAACAAAATATTACAAAGTAATTACATACTGTCGGGTTCGGTCAGCCTCGCCGCATGTTTATCTTATCTAATCTAATCTTCACAGCCACCGCTATAAAAGGGAGGACTGTGGCGCTGTGGGAAAATCTTCTTGGTACGTATTTTACATGTAAGACCATAACGTACGTAGCCTTGCGAGGCTCTGAACCTTGCCCATATTCTTTTCGACTTTTTCGTCATTCTCGACCGTCCATCCCTCCTTCGTATTCTGCCCTCCGCATTCCCTTCCCGACTCTCTCTATCTTCACGACCCTCTGTCGTGTTTGTTCTTCGACTCTCTTTTCCTTTACTCCCGGAAGAGTTTTTGCGTTTTGGTCATGTCTACCCTTGCGGATGAACTCCTTCAGGACTTCGAAGACTCGGGTTCGGATGCCGAGGATGTTCCCCATGATGATTCTCGTGAGCTTGCCGGTGCGAATGGGGAATCCGAACCCCACGACAAAGCATTCATGGACATGGATGTAGACGGACAGGATGGCCCCGAGGAGGAACAGGAGAATGGCTCGGGACACACCGTGGCGTTCGTTGAAGACGCCCAAACCGCGAAAGAAAAGGTCGAGAAAATGCAATTCGGAGCTGTCAACGATGTTCGCAGCGTGGCTAGCCTCATGCAAAGCCTAGAGCCGGTTCTAGAAGTGAGTGTCACAGTCCCCTGCAATGACTTTTTCTGTGTTCCGACAACATTTACATTTCGGTGTTGGAAGACATGTCCCTGACCAGTTCAACCCCTTTGCCGCAGAAAATAGCAAAGTTTCAGTCACAATCTGCCGAAGCGCATATCGTCGGAAACATCGAGGACCATCCCGAGTATCACCTCTTGACACAATCCAACAGTATGTCGACGCTCATAGACAGCGAAGTCATGCTAGTACACAAGTTCATCCGCGATCACTACTCGATTCGTTTCCCAGAGCTAGAAACTCTGATTACCAATCCTTTGGAATATGCGAAGGTCGTCGCGATATTGGGAAACGGTCCTTTCGATTCGGAAAGTATCAAGGCCCTTCAACACTCGACTGATAACCCCTTGAAGTCTACGCTGCGGTCTGTTCTCGACGGTCCGTCTCTCATGATCGTCACCGTGGAAGCGACGACATCAAAGGGTCGCGCCATGACCCCGGAAGAGTTGGCTAGAGTCTTGCGCGCATGCGAGATGATCATCTCACTTGATAAGGCAAAGAAGACATTAACCGAATACGTCCAGTCGCGGATGAACATTTTCGCGCCAAACTTGACTTGTTTGATTGGGTCTCTTACCGCCGCCCAACTCCTCAACGCCGCTGGTGGTTTAACAGCACTTTCGAAAACGCCTGCCTGCAACATTGCCGCATGGGGCTCGAAAAAGGGTACCCGTGCTGGCGGTTTGGCGACAAATATCGGCATCAGGCAGCAGGGGTTTCTCTACCATTCGCCATTGATTCAGGGCATTCCCAACGATCTAAAGAGACAGGCAATGAGGATTGTATCGGCCAAACTGGTGCTGGCCGCCCGAGTGGATCGCACCCATTCCAGCCCCGATGGCTCCACGGGCGACGAGCTGAAAGCATCTTGCCTCGAGCGCTTGGAGAAGTTGACCGAGCCGCCTCCGAATAAGGGTGCCCGCGCCCTGCCTGTTCCAGACGATAAGCCATCACGCAAGCGGGGTGGCCGGAGAGCGAGGAAGGCAAAAGAAGCCACCGCCATGACCGAGCTTCGCAAGGCACAGAATCGGATGGCCTTTGGGAAGGAGGAGAAGGAAGTCGGTTACGGCACCGGCGATGGTACCGTAGGCCTGGGCATGATCGGTCAGGCGAACGACGGCAGGATTCGCAACCTGCAGGTGGACCAGCGTACAAGGGCCAAGCTGAGCGCCAAAAACAAGGGATGGGGTGGGGCAACCTCCTTGAGCGGTGCTGCCTCATCGCTTCGTGGTGTCGGATCATCCCACGCCGGCAGCATCGATTTGCGAGGCAAGGGCTTACGAACATCCGGCGTGGGGACCTCCATAGGCAACGCCGGTGCCGGTACAGCATCGTCTTTGGCTTTCACGCCGGTTCAGGGCTTGGAGCTGGTAGACCCGAAGATGCAGGCTGAACTCAATCGCAAGAGGAAAGCCGAAGAGGATCGGTGGTTCAAAGGAGGGACTTTCACGCAGGTGGCATCTACGGGCAACGATGGCTTCAAAAAACCCGATCTCCCCCCTAACAAGAGGCTCGATACAGGCCAGGGAAAGATGGGTCCTCCGCCCCCGCGGAAGACATGATGAGGCCAGCTTGGCAACGAAGTGGGGGTTGCGATAATGAGGAAAGGTGGAATGGCCGTCTGATTATGGAAGAACAGAACGTTGTTTCCCTGGCTCTAGACGGGTTGATGTATTTTATTAGCGAGGCGTTTGGGTGTTCAAGGACTTCGGAGCCCGACTTCGTTCTCCTGCTTTTACACTTAGAGGATGCATAGGGCACTTTCAGTCGATCTCTTTCTGCTGCTGGCGGTTCGGAAGCTGGCATCTCTCATAATAATCTATCCAGCTTCGGACAGTTCTTACCAGTTTCTTCATTGCAGGAGTACCCTCCTTCTGTCAAACGAATGGAATGTCAACAGAAGGTGACGCACTTAAGAAGATAGGAATTATGGCTACTGTTGTGAATATTGTCGTTGTCCGAGAAACTTGTACGCCAATGGTCACGTCTCGACCTGTCCCTTTCTGCAGCTTGGGATGCGTTTCTTGCGAAGTACTTCGTACTCAGTACGTACGTGGTAGAGAACGGCCCATCCTAGGAAGGGACTCGCCTAGGAGATCAGAATATTTCTGTCTACCTATTGTTACGACAGCCTACAAAGCCAGACATTAATACACTTTACTTGCACCTTGGGTATGGTCTGTACGGTGTATCAGTGTTTCTGCATAAGAAGGACAGCAGTTTGGGACATGAATAAGAGGCAAGGAACACATAATTACCTACTTCGCACAGGCCCGCGGCTTGAGAAGACGAGTGCTTTACACGTGTATAGAAAACTCCGAATATCGGGATAACATGAATACGAATAGAAGAGTGATGTCACAACACTAGGTGTCAACTAAGGTACGAAGTACGTGTACTCAGTAAGCCGGCTTGGCACCATAGCACTCACTTCTAAGTGATGCGAAGTTCCTGGGCGTAGTGATAAGTGACGATCACCGTGCTGGTGCAAGTGACATTAGGGTACAACATTGACCGGAACATCTACTCCGCGCCACCATCCCTGACAATCTACGCATGGTTGGGATCTAGGGTTCCTCTTGCAAGTCGAACCCACGGAGAACATAAACCAACACGAGGGATCGAGATCGTTGAATATGTAGGTTCGTACGGATATGTCCAGGAGGAGTGCCCGTCTTCCGCCCCCCCCCGTTCCGTCTTCCGGGTCGACTCAAACTCTTTCTGGATTAAAAATCCACTATTTCTCCACCACCCGAAATTACCTAGGTATATTTCCTTAGGGCTAGGGTTCCTTTTATCGTGGAGGGCCTTCGTGGAGACCTTCTTCATGGAGGCCTTCTTCGTTCCTTATACGCGTTCTGTCTACTTATATTAGGGTACCTAGGAAACCCACCTATTTTCGGGTGGTGGAGAAATAGTAGATTTTTAATCCAGAAAGAGTTTGAGTCGACCCGGAAGACGGAACAGGGGGGGCGGAAGACGGGCACTCGTCCAGGAGATGAAGCTCTCAGCCACGCCGGGTTCGGGCTCGCTGTCAATCAGGGTTTGCCTAACGTCTGGCGTCATCCCGCTCCTCATCGCTGACCCCACCCGGCCTCCCAGACAAGGGGTTTGGAAAGGGGAATCGGAGCGATGTTGCGGGGTCAATAGGGGTCGTTTTGAAGTGGATGTTCGGAAAACTCAGATGGACCAAAGAATCGACGATGAGTACGGAGTAGGTAGGCCCATAATTACCTCCCCGGTACAACATTCACAAGGTGCTTGGCTGCTTATGTATCCGCAGCTGCGCGAGGTGGGGGTAGGCGAGGGGAGTGGTTTACGAAGTATTGAGGAGGTACCTTAGTCCACGACAGCAGGTACGAAGTGGTATAAATTATGTGGGAGGACGACGAAAGAACCCAAAGCTGTCATGTCCAGAAGGCGCAGGGCTATTGCGCATAGGGTTGACCCTGCGCAGGGGTCAAGGGACCCCCCTACTCCGTAGACGGCAAGTGGATGCTCGCGTAGAACCCCGATCGTCCGCAGAATTTCTGATCACTGCGGTCAATGTACTTTTGCCGCTGGACCCTGATTACACTTTGTGACGCAGTTCTGATGTGATGTTTTAAATGTATCCCTCCCTCTTAACCCCCCGTGCACAAGTTATTGTTTACAACGTACACGAGCGTCCCTGATCCCCGACGGGGTCTTCCGCCCGCGCTCGTTATGCGCAATATTTTTTTCTCCTGCCCTTTAAAAATTTTACCCCTTGAGGAAAAAAAATAAAGAAAAAAAAAAAGGAGGACATTGTCGGGAGAGGGCAACCTCCTTGCCGGGTGTACTGTTGAGGTTTGTTAGCAGCAACGACAGAAACAGGGTCGCTCACCATCCCCGCACACACACACACACACGACACGACACGAGAAGTGGCGTGGGTTAAGAGCCCAACAGACAGGAGAAGAACGTTATTTAGCTAATCGACCATTTTTATAAACTAGCCTCTACGAAGTATATTCCGTAATTTTTCCTTCGTGGGTCATTTCAAATGGGGTCAGCATACAAATTCGCACAATGAAATACCGAGGATTGCGACCAATGTTGGGACGATACTGCCCAAGCCGCCAATGTCCTCGAGTACTCCGTGCATACATAGTCGTATGGTGAATACCTACGGCGTAGGACCCCGGTACGCGCAGAAGTTCAACGCGAATCCTTTCAGGTCCAGACCAATGGATCGTCGCTCTTACATCCCTCTGTTATTATGGGTAAAACGGGGTTCAGATGGGGTTTGTTAAGAATTCCATGTCCGGATCAGCCACTCCGCTCCTTCTTGTCCCAAGTTACGAGGTACTCGTACGGCGTATGTATGTACGGATACTTCGCCTTATGATACGACTGAGTGACCGTCGGTCGACACCAGGCAAGCGAGAGGCAGTCCTCGAGACGGCCTGATAAACCGATAGTCAAACAATAATGCCATGCTGATGGACGGGGACCAGCTTAGGGTTTCGGTGTAGTTAAACTACGGTATTGGACCCATCCGTCCAAACGAAAAATACCTTGGTGCCTGTCTCGTGAGAAGTTGCTATGAAAACCAACTTTCTATCCGCATGCGCGGTGTTAAGAGGTACTCAGTACATGCAAAAACGAACTAGCTCCATACATTTCGTTTCGGCCGGCATCAGAACGGCCGATCTACCCGATCATTGGTCTGTAGTCCTGAGTAAAGGTGTCCCCTTCCCTGAATTTTCGTGCGGAGAAATGACTTTGCTCGCGATGGGATATGACTTGGGGTGTGGGTATATACTGCATGGATATAGAAGCCCTTAGTGACTAAGAAATTAACGAAAGACATTTATACTCTTAGTAGAATATATTGTTGAATAGACCTTAGTTTAACGGTTATGTAACGGGCACGGATTTAACTAAAGGATTATAACCTCGGTAATCTAGGCGAATTAATACCTATAGAATTTTTACTATATATAAAATAGTAGTAGTAGTTCTTTGATAGTCCTGTAGTTATATAATTATATATAATTATCTTAATTAATCTTCAATTTAAACCTCTTAATTTTCATTCTATTTTAACTATTCTTAGTTACGATATATATAATATATATAGAATATCTAAGACTAATACTATATTCTAGATTATCTAACTGCTTTACAATACAAGTAAATATTAGAATACTAACAGTTACTTAAGGTTTATATCTTATAAAATACTCAAATCTCTTTAATTACATAAGTTTCTAAGAATATTATCTGCTTTAATCAAGCTCCGTAATCACTTAAGGAGGACTGGCCCTAAGCGAGGACGGGGATTAGGTGTCTATCTAGGCAACGAAGCAAACACCGTAGACATTACCTCGATCCTTCGTCCGGCCAGACCGCGGTTGGGCCTCACGATGGCTGCGAGTACTCCGTACCCTTGCTTATTCTGACGTCACAGCAAATTAGCACGGGCCCACGGTGGAGCAAGGAAGAGACCATTGCATTGCTCTTCTTACAGACAGAATATCCGTACTTTCGTCCGCGTACGAGAAACTTCATGTTCTGTAGTTATCTATTGAATGAAACGAACGCAATTGACAGGGAGTAGGAACTCCGTAGATTGTTCGTGTTGAACTCAACATCTAATCCCATATACGAAGTACGAATATCTTAGTAAGCTCAGACCTTCCTACGCCCAGGTTGCCTGAGCACTTTCGCCACTTCCACTTCCCTCACAGATGCTGGACTGGACGATTGTACGAAACGCATATATTCCATTACAAGACATTGAGCCACAGGATAGAGGAAGTAAAGTACCATAAAAGCATCAATTATAAATTAATTAATATATACAGCGCCCGGCAAAAAGTATTTGAACACGCCGATATACCATCGACCCACAAAATGCCAGGCTGCGGCATATAGGCTTACTATCTAGCCTCAAATACGTAGGAGTGTTCAAATACTTATTGCCCCCTACTGTATATATGTAACTTGATAAAAAAATCATTTAGAGGTTTTATATTCTAACCCCTCTTTAATTGCTCTAAGTATACTTTCAGAGCCTAAATAAACTAATAGTATTACGATAATAAGCGGAGTAGACTATAACTAGATATATCAAGAGGAGAAATTATATATATAGAATACAGGGGGACTTAGTACTTTATTAAACGATCTTATAGCTCTTTAATATATTAATATCGACGTGATAATATAGTAACTAATAACTCTAATAGTTTAATACCTTAGAAACTACCTCGTACTTAGGTATAGATAGCTTTAAAGTATAGATCGATCTTAGCTTAACCTAGATATACTATAATAGTATGAAAATAGATTATAGGTGCTATTATTAGTATAGATATATTTCTCGAACCTTCTTAATTTTTCTAAAAGTATAAACTATAAATATACCGCTTTGAACAATTAAACAGGGGTTATATAGTATATTTATAAGGGGTTGCGTGCTGTTATTTACCGACTTCCCTCTTACTAGCAGGCAAACGCCTAATCCATCAAGGGGAAACTAACTGGATTTGGGTGTCTCACTGTCGCGGTGCCTAAATTTCCTCATCCCTCGCTGTCATCGCATATCAGGGACTCCCCCAGATATGTACGAACGTGGAGATATTGTTCTTACCAACTTGCATGCGATGGCCATCGTGTTTTTGTTTCCCCGATAAAACGAAACCGTGAAATCCATACAATTCGCATGTTCTTGTTCTCCATACAAATACTTAGTTGGTTACGACGAGCTAGTCGACTAGAAGTTTGGAACTACCTTAAATACCAATCGAAAACAACTACGTACGTTATACTTCGTACGTCTTAGATTCACGCCCACCCCCCTACAGGTTCACCACATCAGTGGTGGGTACCTGAGGAGGAGGTACCTGCCTGGGCCTAGACAGTCTAGACCCCCCGTTCCTGTCGCAACTCCACATCTGATCCCTGCTCATACTTCCCTCCGCTGGATTCTGGTGCGCCCGGAGCGCCGACAACCACCTACGAAGTACCACCGCTGGTTCCAGTTGTGGTTCTTCTCTCTCTGCATCTGCACTTTTCCATCGGCTTTCACACTGCAGCTCCATTTCCCCATAGGCATAGTCCGTAATTAATGAACCCCCTCCCCCTCCCGAGCTTGCACCTGTTGCTCTCGGGAGAGCTCCTCTACCTATATACAAAGGTGGTCATCCAAACGCATACCCCCCTCAATTTTTTTTTTATACCTTTCGCAACTCACCTCTGCTCTCCCCCACCTCTCGTTTGGACAGTTACATCAACATTCAGGGTCTTCTTCCCTTCGTCGGCCTTCTTTCAAGGGTCTTGCATCCCATCACGAATATCGCCATATGCCAAAACGATCAGTTCGACTCGTCACGGCATTTCAACCCTTTCTTCTTTCCCTCGGCGGCCTCTCGCTTCCCCATTCCGTCATATACCCGTCCAATCGTCAGCGGCGCCTGTATCATAACCATCCCGGACGCCTGTGAAGAATTCAGCGTCCGTCTTACACCATGCAAGTTCGAGATGCCGCCGGTCGTCAGGTCTCTCTCCTGAACGAAGAGCCGCAAGGATCCCATGGTCCAGGACTTCAGCGCCTTAGCTATCATGTCGCAAGCCAGGTCATATCACAGCCATACCATCCCTTCTCCGCCCGAAGTAGTTCTTCATCTATCCCCAACACGCCAGAACTCCTCCGATCAGACTCGTACGACTCCAACATGAGCGCAGGCCCCAAGTCTCCTTTGACTCCCACCACATACGAGTACGCTCACGGTCACAACCTAGTACCATTGGTAGGGGGTTCGCCCGACGAGTTCGAATTGCCAGCTAAGAGGCCGCTGGGGCTCTCTGCCAGTAGGTCCAACTCGTACGACGATGAGCCATCTCCTGCCAATTCGGTGCCGGACGGCAGAGCAGGGAAGAGATATCCTTGCCGTTACCGAGAGACCCACGGATGCGAGAAAACTTTCACAACTTCAGGCCACGCCTCACGGCACTCCAAGATTCACACGGCTGAGAAAGCCGTTCAATGCACCTTCCCCGGCTGCCAGAAAAAATTCACTCGGGCAGATAACATGAAGCAGCACCTCGAGACACATTACAAGGACAAGTCCCGGCCAATGGGGTCTGTGAAGACTTCAGCCCGCAGCTCTGTCGGTGGTGTATCGGCGTCCGCACGGCGATCTTCGTCAACGTCTTCATCGTCGTCCGCCAGGACGTCAACACACGCGCGATCAGTCCTAGACAGAAGCCCCTGGGATATGGAGCCCTACAGCTTTGCGCCTACCAGCGCCACGTCGGTCACCTCGACGAGCCCATGGGACCTGCGCGGGTTGAACGGACCTCTTATGAGCCGGCACAGCGCCGCACGCACTCCCAGTAGCGGTCTCGATGCCCTCGCCATGGCCGTGGCTTGTCAAGAAAGTGCGTAGTGGACGCGATGCCTGGGGCAATGCGACTTTCAGATCTCATTTCCGCACACTTTTATATTGTCCGGCCTCCTTGGTGCGGCGCACCGATCCCTGTGGTCACCTGCAAGCGATTTTGCGTCTCACGTCTTTGGTCTCTCTTTTCATACCGCTCTCACATTACGTGCGCAATTCTTTGCATGCCTAGAGTCGATTTGGGCGATCTGCAGGCGATGATGCTCGACTCGGGCTGGATCTGGCGTCATGGGTTAGGTCATATATACTGCCGGAAGAGGTATGTATGTATATATATATATATATATATTTCCCTTCGGCGTTTATTGGGGGCGTTCGGCTGGTCGGTGCGATTGTCGCAATCAAATAGCGAACCTGCACCCGCACTTTCACGACGCAATCGGGCAACGAGGGCACATCAAAATGTCGGCGTTGGGGTTTTTTACTTGGCACCTCTCCTCCCTCCGATGCTATGTTGGGGTGGAATCGTATTTGTACTAGTAATCAACGGCGTTACTGGACAATAATGAATTGATTGGGTGTATGTCTTGCACTCTTCGCAACTTATCTGCTGCCCAGAATGATCGGTGCTCTAGCTCTCGTGAACGACACGAGCTTATTATCCCCATAACATGGTCTGATTAGTTACCTTAGGTACCTACCTTGGTACCTTAGATGGAGCCACCAAAGTCAAAACTCCCTCGCTGCCTTTGGCTCGTCGACCGTATTCACAGTCGAGCGCCACGTACTTCTGTACCTGTCTCCATTCATTCACGGGCTACTTACTACCTTACAAGCATGAGAGTCGTCCGGGCATATATTTAACATGTATCTAGTGGACTACCAGATTCGTTCATCCTCCGCACAGGATCTGGCCATTTCGAACTGTTCGTCCGTTTGGCACACAAGCACCCCATGTCTAGATCCTTTGGCGCTCACATCCTGGACAACGTCGGTGATCTCGGCCGCGTTCGAAGTGTCATCGATTTCAAACCCTAAACAGGATACGCTTTGCGCAACTCGGTCTCGAAGTTTGCTGCTTTTCTCTCCAATGCCTCCGGCGAAGACGAGGGCATCGACCTGCCCGCGCAGAGCCACGTAATAGCTCCCTACGAAACCGCAAATGCGGTCAACAAAGATGTCGAAAGCCAGCTTGCATGCCGGGTCGTCGCTTTCCGAAATGGCCCTAAAGTCCGTTGTTCCCGTCAACGATTTCCAACCGCTCTGCTTATTGAGGATGTCTTCGGCTCGGGAGATGTGCAATTCCGGAGTCGAGTAGGGCGTTAACTTTCCCACGTCGTTAGTGTAGTGGAAGACCAGACTGTATTGGACACGAGTCAGTCGGAAGCGAACCGAGACGACGAGATGGTAACCCAAGATTTGGGGCGCGTTCCACCAACCTGGGATCAACACTTCCGCTTCTTGTGGCGCCAGGAAGTCCAGCCAAGGGCGTCAGTCCCATGCTGGTATCCCAGCTCTGGCCATTCTTGATGGCGCAGGCACTTGCGCCGCTTCCCAGGTGCAGGGCGATGATGCTTAGCTCCCCAATTTCCTTGCCGAGATATCCGGCGACGGACCGGGTGATGAAGGAATAGCTAAGGCCGTGAAAGCCATACTTGCGTAGCCCGTTCTTCCTGGCAATGTCGGGGTTCACGGGGTAGGTACGTATGTGCTCTGGAATGGTCGAGTGGAACTGGGAATCGAAATAAGCAATGTTGGCGGCGTCTGGCAGCTGATCCAAACAAGACCTGACGATGGTCAAGGCAGCACGGTTGTGGAGCGGTGCTAGATTACTGAGAGCCTCGATATTGTCGTACGTCACGGGGCCGATGAGCTGTGAAGATGCATAGTCTCCGCCATGGACGATTCGGTGACAGGTGATGGCAATGTCGGCCTTGCTCTTGATCTCTTGTAGGTTCGGATCGTCGATGAAAAGACCGAGCAGAAGTTCAAAGGCGTCATCCTGTTGCTCGACGGGCTGCCACGCCTTTTCTGCCTTCTTCTTGGTTTTGTTATGACATGTATAGAAGACAGCAACGGGCCCGGCTGTCAGTCCGCTGACCTGCGCTTCGGCGATCTGCTGTGGTGTCTTCCGGAAGGTAGCAGAAAATACAGAGATCTTGACGGAACTTGATCCGGAGTTTATAGCAAGTAGCACCTTTGCCATTTTCGAGACAACACACTCTGAGTTATCGGATGTTGATAGTACGACCCATGAACGAGATGGATAGATCAGTCGACGTAGTCGTGGCCCAACGAATGGATGCCGCTGCTTTGACAAGCAATCCTAGCTCAAGAATCTGTTCACTCCCAATGTCCCTGATCTCGGTACAGGCCGTGAAGATAAATCAGACGTGGCGTGATGTTCGAGAGATTGCGTTTCCAAGTCGGCACACTGAGTGAACGAAGAGATAGACGTGACGTCATCACACACGTCACCCAACCCGATGTTAGGGGGTAGAAAGTTAGAGGCGGTTCTGGTGCTTTGCGGATTACCGAGTATTCTGTGTCTCAAGGGTAGCAATTATCTACACGTACAGTGTACCAGGTCTGACTAACGGACACGATCCAGTTACACAATATGCCGCCAGTACTTCGATGGCCACAGGCAACCTCGAATCAAAGGGTATTTCCTAATTTCCTAGAAAAGAAGGCGTTAATGGTATGAACAGGTCAGCCGCGCCTCGCCTCGCCTTGGTTCGTTTGGTGGCCATGACAATGATACCCGGTGAACTTTGAGACCTCGTTTTTGGTTGGAGTTCGCGAAACTCATGCCGGGACAAGCAAGGTGCCCACCTAATATGTGGAAGATTTTGTCCAACTGAAAGTTTCATGAAACCCCAACGCCGCCACCCACCCGCGCAACTGGAGAGAGAGGGGAGGAAGAAAAGAGAGTGGGGAGATAAAAGGCGATCATACAGAAACCAATCTCACGAGCTCGAGTTCCAAGACGACAAATCCATCGCGTCCATGGGTCCCATGTTCATGAGTGATCGCAGAACCCCTTCGGCCATGGGCGTCATGCCCCCTTGCCCCGGCATACCTTCCCAACTGCCCGGGTCCATACCGAATCCTTGCACCGGTGTCTCACCCACGGTGAATCTCTGTGCCGAAGCAAGCCCACTCGTCCCCATCCCGAAGCTCCTGGGGTCTCCGAAGAAAGACTGCCCATGGACTTGAACATTGGACCTATTACTTGCGTCCTGTATAGTCGATGCTTTGTGGTTTGGGAAAGCGTCTCTCCCTGTCCGACTTTCTGTAGCTGATGCTATCTTACCGGACCTCTGTTCCGTTGTCGAGCTTGAGTTAGGCGTCGGCCGCCTCGACAGTTCACCGTCCGGCGACGTGGCGTTCTTCTCGCCACTACTCTCGCTATGACCGAAGCCTGACGCCTGGCCGTTGCTCGATGCGCCTGGGCCTTTGTCATAAATTGATCCTGACCTAGGGGTTAATATGACGCCTTGCATCGGCAGGCTACCAGTTCCAGTACTTCGCTCATGGGACAGAGCTGGATCTGTTGGAGTCCACTTCTGACCTGTATATGGCCTTGACTGGGCCTCCGGCTGCGCCTCAGAATCCGTGGTTCCCATCATGTCAGGGGCAAGGGGCGCCTGGCCACCGTTATCCGTAGCTTTGGTGAATTCGCCGCGGCAGGAAAGAATTCCGGCAACGCCGTTAGGGTCATCGCAAAGTTTGGCGCCCGTGCTAAGATCAGGCTACACGGCCAGTCAGAACTGATATGGGTCTTTGACTGGGTATCTTTGGCTCGACCTAAGGAGGGCAGACTCACGCTATCGCCACTTCGGGGAAAGGCAGACCGTAGCCTCGGAATCCTCACCCCCAAAGCTTCCAAGTCCACATCCAGCTGGACCAGAAATGATTCCGTCAGCGGATTTCGGCGTTTGAGGGCACTCATCGCCGAGAGGAGGAACCGTAAAGAATCAGCTGTTTGGCTGTCGTCTGGACTGCTCTTGAGATATTGGACAAACACTCGCGCGGCGACGTATAGACAAAAGGAGATGAAAGGGTTCATCTATGGTCCTGTCAGGGAGGCATTATTCAAAGATGTGGAAGGTGGGGGCCACCTTACCGAGGACAGATCCATGTGAGATATCATTCTCATTGTGCTGGCAATGTCGCTGGCGGCCGTGATGCACCGGACTTTGCTTTCGGCACTAACTGAGGCCGGGAGCTTGTTCTTGTCGGCCTTGAAAATGGCAGCTTGATGCAGGCAAATAGTAGACGTGTGAATGCTCATATTTGTGAATACAATGTTGGGGTTTCCAAGACCAGCCGGTAACTTCAAATGCGGTGGCAGGCAGAGGGATGTAGTGAGAAGGATGTTATCCATGCTGCGGTGGCGCTTCCAGAACTCTCCGTTGAGGTCGTTGTCTCGATCATCGGGGTCGGGTCGGTGGAGGTGGATGAGGTTGCGACCGAAGAGGCAGGCCATGAGCACAATGCCGCCAAATGAAGATAATTTACTGGCGCCAGCAGGAGTCATGCAATCCTGCAAGGACTGAGTCTGTTCGGGCCTGCTCATGTCGAATGCTTCGTCGGAGGATGGCAAGTTGGTCATGATGTCCTTCTCGTCGATGGTCATAGGCCAGCCTGTGCCAATGCTTGCGTACCGATCTTCGCAGAATGCCATCCAGAAAGTGCGCCGCCTCTCTTCGCGCTCAGTCCAGTCTCGCGGTGGCGGAAGAGACTGTTTGACGTCTAGACCCGCGCCATCTAGCCGGTGGAGACCAATCCTGAGCAGAGTCAGCACCCTACCAATGCGCCAAAGACTATACGCAGTATTGACAGTATCGTGGGAAACCACCCACTTCCATTGGTGATACTCACATTTGGCACAGACGCACAGCTGCGCCCGTGTTCATCCATGCTCTTGGGAAATACATCATTTTAAACTCGTAAGAGGCCAGGAGGACGTGTGTTTGCGCGTGTGCGACAGATATCATATGCTCTCCATAGCCTTTGATGTAATCTGCTTCACTGTACTTGCGGGATCGTTGGTAGAAGAGATCCTTCAGACCAACGTACTTTTCTGTAGTGGAGCACGCCAATGTCCATATGGCGTATCTGAGTGCAACGGGTGGGCGTTGGTTTGGTGCACTGCAGTTTTGGTTAGCTAACACAATATTGCGCCCCGATGAAGCTGGCCAGGTTGGAGCTTGGTGCCCTGAGAGTGGAAGAGCGGGACGAAGCAAGACGGTGCCTCACAGGTTCATAGCGGCCAGGTATCTGTATTTGTGAATCATGGGAAGGGAAGGGTGGACCTTCTCGAAGTAGATCTGATGGCTGCGCATGACGTGAAGATTAGCAGGTATGCCCGACCACCTAGGGCGTCTGCGGGGGTGAGCGCTGTAAAACGTACAGCTCGTCGATGGTCTCCTGCGGCGGGAGGGGCTCCTCCAAGCCAAGACCGATCATTTCCCACGTGAAGTTCCCACCAACGCTGCCCATACCCATGGACATATTGGACCCGAAGTTAAACTCGTCAACGGCAGGATTGGGTTGTGGTGATTCTCCGTTGAAACGCCAGCGATCAGTATGACGGTCACATGGAATAGCCAGGGAGGGGCCGGTAACGCCTAGGGCGGACGTCACAGGGGGTGCTTGTCCACGGGTTGCCGCCGCGCCAGCGTCGAGGGCGACAGACATGGGCCTGGTAGGATCCGTAGTACCACCCAATGAAGGGGAATGGGACTGTGTCTTGCTGAGAAGTGTCTCCACCTGTTCTACGATCGAGGCAGAAAGGTTGTTAGAGGCGATTTCGTTGTGTAATGAACTGGTCGCAACGGGAATGCTCACTTAACCGCTCTTCCAAAGCTTTCACATATCCCCGCTTTGGTCCGCTCTTCCTTCTGACCTCGTCATAAGCACACGAATGGCCGAGTCGGGCACAGGTGCCGCAGCTTGGCTTGCCACCGTCGCATTTGAGTTTTCTTTTCCGACATACAATACAAGCGAGGCGCTTCGGTTTCGGAATGCTGGCATTGTCAGCTGTATCCCGTGGGTCTGGCGCAGCGTTAGGGTTTTGGGTTTGATTCTGGACGGAGCTGTTATTCAGCTCTGGCGAAGTCGGTGAGACTGGGGACATGATGAAGCCGGCAGCAAAAGTCCTCGAGGTGCAGGGAAAGTAATTTCACAGTCTACTCCGTAATCTAGGCGGGCAACGGTTTTGCACGTGGGATATGATGAGGCGTCCAGACGTTGGCGACTGAATGCGCCACGGCGATATATTGACGAAACGCCTCGACGCGATGAGGCGAGCAAGCGGTTGTGCACGGGGTAAAGCGTCGTGGTCCGGGAGACACGTTCCAAAACCACGGGCGGCGAATAATTATATTAACCGTCTCGTTTGATATGGGTCGTCTGGGTTCGGAGGAGAAGGCGAAAGATGGGAACACGATAATAACGGGTGCCTGTTGTAATTACCAACACCCGCACCCATGACAGAGGACCGGACCGCATCGAACCCCCTTCACCTGTGAGCTGACCATTTTGGTTGGATAGGACCTAATAAAGGTGCTTATATTCGTACAGCGTGCATTGAGTTATGTACGGTGGTAATACTGTAGGGACACATGTACTTCGTACGTAGTTATAGCCCTCGAGGTACACGAAACGCTTAGTCAAGCAGGAAGGGGAGTCTATTACACACCACCGGGTACCCTTTTGGGACGGACTTGATTGCTGAGTATTATTTTGGAAATGTACGGATGCAATGTACGAAGTGAGTGTAAACTGAGTCTTTGCTCTCACTCCGTAATTAAACCAAAAGAAAAAGAAAACCCCCCCCCCACCCCTAATGCACCTTTAAGGCTCCTCGAGTCTTTCATTGTTACTGAGGGGGTTTGTTAGGCTTAAGATCCAATGTGAAGTGGCTAGGTAGTATCGCGCTTCATTAAGGTAAGCTTCGTCAGACTTTATCGAGCATTCAAATTAAGTCCGGTTTATAGTCTTTAATTCCAGACCATCCTGCTCCTGAGCTTTGGAAAGGCGAATTTAAGAGTAACCCTAGGGTTTTGCAGATTGGTCAATGTGTATACCGAGAAGTTGCTCTCACAATGCGGTGGTGACGTGGTCGCCGCAAGGACCCTTGGAATCATCAAGATGCACAGAAGATGTTTCGACATGTCGGTGCGAACTTGGTTGTTCTCGATCGGTCGACGGTGTTTCTCAACTATTTAAATGCCCCCGACCTACAATCTTTAAACGGTCCGAGACCTCGGTGGCCCCTCAGAGAACCAGCCTAACGTGAAATTGGAACAACTGTCATAGGGCTTGCCGTGATGCCGACCTGTTCACCCAACAAGTGTTTCGATTCTTCCCTATTATCAATGCCCATGTCCTTCGTACGAGCATGCCGAGATTGTCATTCCCTGGTTTATCCTGCCCCATTAAGTTCGTTTTCACTTTCTTTCAGAGTCGACTCCAGCAATGCGAAGTACATCCTGGTCGACGTACGCGAGGCAATATCGTGTGGGGGCCCATGCCACGACAGGACCTGCCTTGGTAGTCTTTATGGCGTGGACTCGTTCTCCCGACTCTACATGAAAAATGTCGAGGCTCGAACCTGTTTCACCGATGCTTTAGCTAGAGCCTGGCAATTGGGATGGTGAGAGCACTTGTGATTACTCCATGCCACTTACCCTCCTCACTTCCTCCAACAATGTAGCTCCCATCAAAAGTAAAGCCTTAGGTCGGAAAAACATGGTCAGAAGCACGCCAAATCAGATCCGCCACACTCGGAAGACAACTCACTGATGTTTCGAATCGGGCCTGTCGGGTTGCTGATAGTCTTCTGGCATATCCAATCCGTGGTATCCCACAAAGCAATCACCGAGTCGTACCCTCCCGTGGCGAGGTACCGCGCAGTCGGCTGCATTTCCACGGATAGACACTGTGAAGTATGCCCGTTGAGGACAAATTCCTCGAGGCCGGCCGATCGATCGCGGTACAGCAAAGGTTCAAAGTCCGGATACGACAGAATGCGGACATGGCCCTCACCAGTACTCAGAAAGATTTTTTTGCCGCTCCAACAAAAGGTGATCTGGTTGGTCTGAACTGGTTGTTGGTGAGCTGACAGAGGAGTCGATTGTGTCGGAGACAGCACGAAAACATTATTAGACTGTCCTGCGGTAAGCTGCAGCTTGGGGTCTTTCGGGTTTAGGTAGGAAAGCTTTCAATACACATACTTTGTTACCGACCATGAGGGTCTCGCCGTCCGGGGCCCAAGCTAACGAGGAAGCATCTGACAGCCCTGTGATCTCGTTGATACAAGTCTTGCTCCTCACGTCCCAAAACTTCACCACACCGTCGCTACTCACACTACAGAGCTCGGCATCCTTTGTGGGGTTGAAAGCAACCTTTTCAATGCCAGCAGAGTGTCCTTTGAGCTCCGTGGAGAAGCGCACGAGAGGCTTTTCTGGGTTCCCTAGACAGCCAGCATGTTAGTTGATTCCATCGCGTTACAATTGAATGGTATTGGTTTAGAGTATATGAGTGAGTTTACGTACACACTCGGAGAGTTTTATCTGAAGCACCTGTCGCGACAAGAGTTCCTTGCGGGTTCCATGCGATAGAACAAAGACTGGATTCAACACGTTGGCTCTCGGTCTTGGGATGTCTTGATCAGAAAAGCTGGGCGACTAACATACCCTCGTGAACTGGCCCCTCGGGCAGCCGGGCTGAGGTCCTGGTAAGTTTGGCTCTTCACATTGCCAAAGTAAACGGGGAATCGATCTTTTGACAGGCTCTGTCTCGCGCGAAGAGGAGCCATGAGGTCGAATCGAACCGGGCCGGCAGGACCGCACCGAAGCGGTAGGAAATTCTAAAACAATGTGTCGCCAAAAGCAATTTACTCCAAGGAAATCGACGGAGCCAGATGAGAGTTGAAGCGGCGAAATGGTAACTGATGGAACCGAAATTAAGGCTCCTGAACCTGAGCACAAGTTTCAAGGTATAGAATGATTCCCCTTCTCTTCAACTTGCGCTACCTACCTTACCCAGGTTGTGAATAAGAGACGAATCCTTACTGAGTATGGGTAGCACTACGACGTTAGAATCATACGAAGTGCTCAGTACCTACCTTAGCTAGGTCTTTCGGGGCTAGCGTCCCCGTACGCTTTCATTACGTGGGGAATGGGTCCTAGTTTGGTTCACCTTCCAATCAACATGCTAGTGCTCCGCACTAGCTTACCTTACCTTAGGTGCTAGGTATCAGTACTTCGAGGGGACCGACGACCTGACGTCGGTCGCTACTCCGAACTCCGTCGTAATCAACGCCAGAGCCCAGCCCACCCAGCCTTCTTCTCAACATTCTACCATCGTGTTCTGCTATGCGCGAGGACATCCCCGAGACGGCCGCCGCCAGCGTGATCAGGGCTCTGACGACATGTATTGGCCATTCGGCACCCCGAAATGTTTCGCAACCAGCAGCAATTCCGGGCCAGAGTTCAACCTGATTGTATCGGATGACGGACTCCCGAGTCCCTTCAGCGAGCCTCCTACTTCGTTCCAGACGGCACCAGCTTCCCCAGACCGAATACCAAACGATGACCAAGCACGTCACCCAGGCCAAGATGATGGGCAGCTTGCGACCCCTGCGACACCTCTCACCCCCGCCGTTCAATCCGTTGACCACGATCACGGCCTCTTAGGAACCGATCCCAATGGCTCTCCTAGCCAGGCGCCACCACAACGCCGTGCCCCCACCAGAATCCCCCTGAAAGATCCAATTCTTGCTCTGCGTGTGTCACGCAGCGGTCACCTTTTTGCTGTGATCACCGCGGCATCCATGACAATCTGGCAATCCAAGGTGGGCTGCGTCTGTCCCATGTTCAATAGTTGGGGCATCGTCTAATCCTTACTGAAGCCAACCGTCGTCCTCGCTGTCGTTGTTCGGTCCCAATCCTCCCTCGAGACATACGGAGAAAATGTCGACCTCCTACTGCGCCCCGATTCAGCCATTCTGGTCGTCCATACTGCTTTGGGCTACCTTATTACCTACTCCCTTGCTACCGACACCGAAGCACAGGTGTATCGACCCTTCTTTCCGAACTATTCGAACATTCAACGACGGCGTCAAATCCATGTTGGACCGGGAAGCAGCGCCCCTGATCAGTTTCTATGGGGCCCAGGGGAAGGGGGCGGTGTCCGGGACGTAAGCGTCCGGTTCAGGATGGTGATCAAGGTGGATGCCGGCATTGAAAGCGCTCTTGCCCTTGATGACGAATTGATTGTCGCCACTCGCAAACCCGCAGCCATCCAGTGCATCCGATGGACACCCGATAACAGCGGTAGTCAGACGCGTACGGAGATGGTAACGCGGATGGGATGGCTTGACAGGAAAGTCACAGTGGTCGAGATGACCCACGACCGCCCGATGAACCTTTCCACCTGGATAACGAACGATGGCAAGGCACATGCCGTGCAGCGCATAACATTGCGATACGACGCCGTCGCCAACGGAACTGATCCCAAGAAGTTGTTCAAAGGCCACTGCTTCCATTCGCCCCGTGAGAAATCCGAATATGCCCGCCGGGTGGTGATCAACGCTAGATTTTCTCTTATTGCTGTTGGATGCGCAAACGGAGACATCCAAGTCTACTCTGCTCGCGATTACGCCGGCAACATCCCTCCATCTCATACGCACAGCCTTCCAGTATCGGCAGAGGTGGCCGGTGCCCTGACCACATTATGCTACTCTCCCGATGGGTACTGTCTGTTTGCCGGCTTCAGCAACGGCTGGGCTATGTGGAGCGTATATGGCAAACTCGGCAGCCATAGCTTTGGTTCCCCTGGGACCGTCGCCATGTCTACGTCTACCGGGGAGAATTGGATGTGCTCAGTCGTCGATGCTGCCTGGCTTGGAAATGGCTCTGAGCTATTCTTGATAAGCTCCCAGCATGAAGCGATCTGGTCACTTGAGATTGCCAGAAGCGCAGTGGCTGGTTGTTACAACTCGGCGAATCTCGCTCGCACCGTCCTCCAGACGAGTACCAGTGTGATGATTTATCGCGGTTATAACCTTCCCGACCTAGCTTCGATCTCTGCCGAACCTTCTCTATGGCACACAACGAGGATTCCCGCCGCATACTTGCTTAACCAGTGGCCCATTCGCCACACAGTCATCTCCCCCGACGGGAGATATGTCGCAGTAGCTGGGCGGCATGGTTTGGCTCACTACAGTGTGAACAGCGGCCGTTGGAAGACATTTGCCTCCGAGACCATGGAGAACGAATTCCTAGTGAGGGGCGGGATGTGCTGGTATCAACACATTCTCGTAGCCGCTGTCGAGGTCAACAAAACCTACGAGCTTCGACTCTATTCCAGGGAGTTGGCACTGGAAAGCTCCCTAGTCCTTCACTCGCAGCGGATTCCTGCCCCCATAGTTCTTATCGCCTCTTCCGGCGAAGACTCGCTCTTGGTATACACTTACGAAAACCTCTTGTATCACTTCATCTTTGCGCCTTATGCCGGTTCGGTGAGACTCGTACAGCTGGGCCAGATCGCGTTCCATGGTATCGTTAGATCACCCGCCAGGGTTCGTGGCTTGAGCTGGATATTGCCTGAGAGCCAGATGATTGATGGCGATCCGTCTCAGGACGTCTCCGTGGCATCCGTTTTGTTCCTGGTGGACGCCAAGTTGGTTCTCCTGCGTCCATCCTTGAACCAAGAAGGCCATCTCAAATATGACATGCGTGTCATATCCCAGAACGTGGAATTTTACGTGAGCATGCGCGATGTGCTGACCCCCGAGGCCATTACCCGGTCCCCCGAGGAACAGCAGACGGCAACGGACAACCTTACTCTTCGCAACTCATTGTGGGTGTTCGACGGTAAGGAGTTTAGGCTTTGGCCTGAAATACACGACGTGATGCGAGCGACATCTAGCGATACATCAAGAGAACTGCCCCCCACCGTATCCATCCCAGTGGACTTCTACCCGCTCTCTACCGCTCTTTCAAAAGGAATTATCCTGGGCGTCGAAGCCGACTTGGCCCAGAGACGGGACCTCGGGTTCTCCTTCTTTCGCTTCGCCATCAGGGTTAGTGTGAAAAACGCTCAGCCTGTTGATGTTTAAGTCGCTGATCGCCGCTTACAGACGCATTTATTCATTCCCGACGTTCTTCGCTTCCTTCTCTGCGATAATCGCACCTCAGAAGCCGTTGAACTCGCCGAACAATACCAAGGCCTCGATTACTTTGCTCACGCGTTAGAAATGCTATTGCACAAGACCCTAGACGAAGAGGTAGATTCGGCGCCCGCTCCCGAGCAGGCGATTTTACCGCGAGTACTGTCATTACTGTCGTCTTTCAGGGAATATCTTGACATTGTAGTTCAATGTACAAGGAAGACGGAAGTAAGACAGTGGCGGACGCTATTTGCCTACTTGCCTCCCGTGCAGGAACTATTTGAGGAATCGTTACAGCAAGGCTTTCTCAAGACGGCCGGAGGCTACCTCATCGTACTGCACACCCTCGACGAGACGGGGTCTGCGCCAGAACAGACAGTCCGGTTGCTTTCGTATGCGATGAGAGCGCGGGACTGGGAATTATGCAAGGAACTCGCCCGTTTCCTGGCAGCAATGGACGAGACGGGAAATACATTGCGGGAAGCTGTAGATAACGTTAAGGCCCCAGGAATGAAGACCACCACCCGACGAATGGACAGGCTGGACCTGCCTTCGTTTCCCTCGGGCAGAAGAAACATGAACGGGTCTGGTTCGAAGGGCAGCGAGAATGGCGAGGATTCAGATGGGGTTTCTGGGAGTGACATCGCCAGTCTTGATTCAGCCCGTCGCTGAGAGGTTGGGCAAGGTGGATTGAGTAAGTGGGCTTGTCAGCTCTTAGGGGATCTTGTTGCGCGCTGTGGCGTGCTGGACTTCAACCTAATAATAGGTTATATTAATAGTCCATATATTCGGACTATCAACCTCTTAATCGGACTATGTCGCACGTCAAAATAGCACTTATATAATTAACTTAATAGAGCAGAAATCTCGTGTGTGTGTATTATATTAAGTTATATCTATATAAGTCTTTTATACCCTTAATTTAGGTGGTAAAGACTCTATTATAGGTACTATATTATTTAGATCCTATCTAGTCTTTTCCGGTATCCTCTCTTATTATATCCTAATACCCGAGGTCCCCGAGATCCGAAGCCCTTAGTTAGGTATAGATCCCTTAGGGACTATATTATAGTCTGTATACCTATACGATATACTCCCTTAGTTAAGGTGGGTCTTCTTAGGTTAACTAATTCATTAGACGTTTTGGTTTAAACTAAAAGCTCTTAACTTGTCTATTATAAAATTAATAGTTAAGGGAAAACGCCCTTATAAAAGGGATCTAAATCCGCTTTATTTAACTATTTAATTTAATTCTATCTTAATTGGTTCCTTAATCCTGATTAGCCGGATCTACTTAATCGGATATATCTATCGGATCTACTACGCCCTTAGGGGCCTTTATCGTTATTACGGCCACGGCTTTAGCGTATTTAATCTCTTTATATAGTTATTTTAATTACTCGATATAATTCTTTTAATCCGTTAAATTAAGCTATTACTATAGTCTTTTAATCCTTACCTCCGGTAATACCTTTACTAAGCCGTCCGCGATTATATCCTTTATATTAATATATATAACCTTAAAGAAACCTTACTATACTAACTAGCGCGCTTACTAGTTATTAATATTAATATACCGTAATCTTATTCGTAGGCGTTATACCTTCTTATTAATAAGGTTAATAATCTTACTAATTATCATAATATAGCTATAGTTATTATTAATCTAACCGAAGCTTTAGATCCCTTAATATCCGACTAACGAATAACGTCTCTAATATACCCTGACTAGACATATTATTAGATAGGTAGTTATAAGGAGTAAGAAGGTAGTAGCGAGAGGGTCTAAAAGGGAGCAGGCGTGAATTAAGTGGTAGTCACGGCTAGTCCGAATATAGGTAGTCCTAAAGAATCAGAATAATCGCTACCCTCTCTATACTAAGGAGGGGGTACTATATAAGCACTATATACTCCTAGGCTAACGCTAGTATAATTAAACGGATATCGTAAATGGATATCTACGCCTAAGCCTAGGCCACGGCCCTAAATAATAGTATCGACCTAGGGTAGCCGTGGCTATATTAAGACGGGAGCCCGGTCTTATCTATACAGAAACCCGTCGTAGTCCTATTATATACCCGGCCTTTATCTCCTAGGCAGGGGCACCTAATAGGGCGACCTCCCCCGGAGTACTCCTATCCTTAGGAGCGGCTAGTACCGGATAGGGCTACTTTTCCCGATTATACCCGGTATCGGCCTATATCCCCCCCTACCGTCCTTCTATCACTAATCTCGTACACGACCCCGTTATAGTTCTATTATAGTCTTACCCTTAAGGAATCCGTTACTCTATTCCTACTATCCTTCTATTACTAATCCCGTACACGATCCTATTATAGTCCTGTCTATCGCACGTTAAATAGACACTTAAAATGATTAACTTAGTAGAGCAGAAATCTCGTGTATATGTATTATGTTAAGTTATATCTATATAAGTCTCTTATACCCTTAATTTTAGGTGGTAAAGACTCTATTATGGGTACTATATTATTTGGATCCTATCCGGTCTTTTCCGGTATCCGCCCCTATTATATCCTAATACGCGAGGTCCGAAGCCCTTAATTAGGGAGTGGATCCCCCCTAAATCCCCTATAGACCACGTTATAGTCCTGCCTATACGATACACCCCCTTAGTTAAGGTGGGTCTTCCCAGGTTAACTAACTAATTAGAGGCTTCGGTTTAAACTAAACGCTCTTAACTTTTCTATCGTAAAATTAATAGTTAGGGGAAAACGCCCTCTTAAAAGGGATCTAAATCCGCCCTATTTAACCGTTTAATTTAAATCTATCTTAATTAGTTCCTTAATCCTAATTAGCCGGATCTGCTTAATCGGATCTATATCTATCGGATCTTCTACGCCCTTAGTAGCCTTCGTTACGGCCGCTTTAGCGCGTTTAATCTCTTCGTGTAGTCGTTTAGACTACTTAATACGGTCCTATTAATCCGTTAAATTAAGCTATTACTATAGTCTTTTAATCCCTGCCTCCGGTAGTGCCTTCTTTAAACCGTCCGCGATTATCTCTTTCGTGTTAACGTACGTAACCTTAAAGAGGCCCTGCTATACTAACTAATATACCTACTAGTTCTAAATATCGACGTGCCGTAGCCTTATTCGTAGGCGCTATACCTTCTTATTAACGAGGTTAATAGTCTGCTAATTATCGTAGTATAGCTATAGTTACTATTAGTCTAACCGAAGCTCTAAGTCCCTTAATATCCGGCTAATAAATAACGTCTTTTTAGCGGCCTTTATAAGAGCGAGCAGTTCCGATTCTGTTAACAACGTTATAACCGTCGGTTACTTACCCGCCTTCTAGTTAATAGTTTCCCCGAAGAGCTTTATCGTATATCCTTATAAACTCTTACGGTCCGGATTATCCTTAAAGGACGCGTCGCTTACTATTAGGAAGAGCCTATCCCCGCCGAATTCTAGATAGTAGTATCTTATATGATACAGAAATAGTAGTACTTATTAAGCCCTTTTAAGATAGTCGGAGGAGAGATTAATATTATAACAGGAAAGCTTTAAATAGGCGAATACGATATCGGGTCTTATCACGATAGCAGTGTATAGGATAGAACCGATTATACCCTAGTATTAGCGGACCTCGGGAATTAACGCGCGGGTGCCGTTACGAGGTATTACCGGCTCCGTAGATAATAGGACCTTTAGTGGTTTTCGGTAGAGTATATCTGCGTAGTACTTAACCGCGATCTTCTCCACGTAGGAGGATTATAATAGCTATAGCCTACGGGTGGCTCTATCCCTTAGGACCTTAATTCCTAGGAACTAACGGATTTCTTCGCCTCCTAATAACCTATAGCTCCGCTTAAGGGTAGCCTTAAGGTTATCGGCGTCCGTCTTACGGTCTTTATAGTATATAAGTCCAATATCGTTAACGTAGAAGAATAGCATTCAACCGTCGCGGATTATAATATAGGGGTTATTAGGGATAGCTATAAAGCCTATCCTCTATAGCGTTCCGCTAAATTCTTCTTACTATAGTAATAGCGATACCCTTAAACCGAAAAGGGCTTTCCGTAGTAGTAGGACCTTACCTGGTACTTCGTAGCCTTACGGTATCTTTATAAACACCTCTTCCTTAAGGCTAGCATTAACGAACGCGTTAACGGTATCGAACTACCTTATTTCTAGATTAAATCGGGCGGCGATCGCTATTAGTATACGGAAAGACCGTAAGACTAGCGTTACGGCGTAGTTACCTTTAGTGTTTAACCGTTTTTATTAATCCCCTCGGACTATAAGGCGTGCCTTACACTTAAGGAGGGTGCCCTCCTTATTAAATTTATAGGTGTATACCTATCTATAGGCGAGGACTTATTACTTATTAGCCTGATTACTACCTACCTCCTACTAGTAGCCTATCTATTAGTGCCCTTTAAGGTATTCCCCCTTAGCCTATAACCACCGCTCCCGTAACGGGTAGAGGCGTATATCGTAGTGGTGGTTTAGCGGAGGCGGGAAATCCTCGCGGGTTAGGCGCGATAGCGGCTAGGAGGTATTAGAGAGAGTAGAATCTATAGCATTAACGTCGCCGTCGTTAATAGCTTACTTCCTCGCGCGTATAGGGTTATAAGTCCTTTTAGCGTTAAAGAACGCCTTTTAGGCGTTATCGTTCTACACTTTCTCGGTTTTATAGATACTTACGATAAATAGACGTGCCGCTACTATATACCCCTTAGGGGTATCCACGGCTGCCCGTTAATTATTATCGTCTCCTTCCACCTTAACGCCCCTAACCACCGCTAACGCTATAAGGAACGCGCGCATAGGATCTTCCGGGGATATTAGAGGCGTGGGAAACGGTTCGAACCTCGTAGCGGTAAACCGCGGAGTGTCCGTAATAGTATCGGGATCCGTAGTAATAGCGGTAGCCTTTCCCGTAATAATAGTAGTGGCGTTTTCCTAGCCCGTAGTAATAGCGGTATTATTACCTTTACCCGTAGTAATAGCGGTAGTATAGTCTTCTCCTATAGCGATAGTAGTGCCCGTAGTAATAATAGTGTCTATAGCGATAGCGGTAGCCTCTCTCATAGTAATAGCGGTGGCGTTAGAGTCTTCCGACTTAAGATCTAATACGTCTACGGCTATACCCCTTAATAGCAGCTTATTCGCGGTTATAGTATCGCTAGATTAGGTGATACGGATAGATTATAGGTATTCCCCGATTTCCTCGGTGGAAGCTATAGCTTATAGCGTTTTAATCCTGCCGTTAAATATCTCGTCTTCGTTAAAGACTATATCTTTAATAGTAATAATATCCGTTAGGTATAGTAGCTAAATACGGAAGCTATTCGAGGATTAGTATCCGACGTAATAACCGATCTATACCTTCGGTTCTAGCCTTTATAGGCGGTTCCTTTTAGCTTAGGTATCGCGCGTTTCTATAAAAGCTTTATAGCCGTAAGCTTATAGGTGTGTAAGGTTAGGTTAACGGCCGCGTAGGCCTTTATATAGTATCTTCTAATCGTTAATGTATTATAGCGTCCTATTATATAGATATATAGTAGTCTTAAAGATCTTAGGCTAGATAGATATAGGCAGATTAGCCCTAATCCTTATAGCCCTCGCCCTCCTTTTAACGATACCTGTAATCCGTTCTATAACGCCGTTTTAATCCTATAAATATAGTACCGACGGCTAGTATTCTACCCCTTTAGTAGCGAGGAAAGTAACGACTTCTAGGTGCTAAAATATCTCGGAATCGGCTCGCAGGATATATAGCCTAACGTCGAATTAGGTCTTAAGCAGGGCAAAAACGTCTTTTAGAGCGTATAGGATAGAGCCTTAGTCTCTTTTCTATAGGTAGTAATCCCACGTATAACCTATATACACGTCTAT